TTGTAGGTGAAGAAGAAAACTTTTGCTTGTAAACTCTCCACCACCATCACATTGAAAAGTACCCATTCTGCAGTTAAACTGATTCTCGACCAATTTTTGGAACATTTTAAAGATAGAGAAAAAGTCTGATTTCAGCTTTAGAGGATAGAACCAACAGAATCTAGAGTAGTTGTCAATGAACACAACATAATAACAGAATCCTTGTACTGATAGAACAGGAGCTGGGCCCCAGAGATCACAATGTATACGCTCAAGGGGTCTAGAAGCTACAAATGAAGAAGTAGAAAACGGTAATCTAGTGCTTTTACCGAGCTGACATGCTTCACACATCTTCTTAGTAAGCTTATTAATAGAGATAGCTTTACTTGTAACCAACTGCTGGAGAATTTGCGGATGTGGATGTCCAAGTCTCATATGCCAAACTTCATCACTTGTAGAGTGTTGTCGGGTAGAGTAGTGAACTTGAAAATGAGGTTCCTCCAGCAGATACAACCCATTATGATTGCTTCCCATTACCAGCAACTTCTTTGTTGCCTTGTCATTGATACAAACACCATCACAGTCGAATTCAAAAGAACAAGGATAATCATGAGTAAGCTTCGAAACCGAAAGCAAAGACTTTGCAATGTTTGGACATACAAGAACATCCTTAAGAGGCAGAGTACCTGAAGTTGTGGCAATATTTGCAGAACCAGTATGTGTAATAGGGAGAAAACTTGAGTCTCCTATCATCACTGAGTCGTTGCCGTTGTAAGGCTGAAAATGCTGCAGATGTTGAGCAGAGTTTGTAACATGAGCAGAGGCTCCAGTGTCAGGGTACCAGTCGTTAGGAGACTGCTCGGTGACGTCAGTTATTCTCAGAGCAGCTAAGGCAGTTGGCGGTTCTTCATATTGATAGCTATTGTTGAACCGATGCCAGCATTTTAGGGCAGGATGACCCATTTTTCCACATATCTGACACTGAATATTACTATTTCCACCGTAGGAACCTGAGTTAGAAGATGAGGATATCTGTTGGTGAAAACCTCTTCCTTTTGTAGAGAAGTTTCCCCTGCCTCGACCACGATTATAACTGTTTCCTCCTCTACCGCGATTGGAATAGTTGTTGTACCCTACAGCATCTTCGAAACGAGTGACATTGAACGCCAAGTGTGGAGACACATTACTTTCAACAGAGTATGCTTTAAGACGATCTTCGAACCCTTTTAACCGAGGCACCACTTGTTCCAAGGTAGTAGTGGGAATCAGATCCAAAACACCTTCAATGCTTGTTTTAATAGGCTCATATTCTTTTCCCAAGCCATGTAGAGCAGCAAAAACTTTCATCTTTTCCGTAACAGGATGACCAACAGAGGAAAGTTGTTCGCATATAGTTTTTACTTCCTTCAAAAAATCATCCATAGACTTACTATCCTTTGAAATAGTCTGTAGTCGGCGTTGCAGTTCAAACAAGCGTGAAGAAGAGACACTGGTGAAGTGAGCAGCGAGTTATGACCAGACCTCATGAGCAGTGGTACAATCATCAACGACAGCGAGCAAGTCATCGGAGATGGAGCCAAGAAGCCACGCCTGAATGACTTGATCTGTTTGGCAACAGATCTGAAAGTCGGGATTTGGTGTGTGTGACGACGTGTTGTTGATAGCTGGGACCACGATAGTGCTTGCGGGAGGAGGACGACCACCATTGATGAAGCCGAGCAGATTTTGACCTCCTAAGAACCTCTCGAACTGTTTCTTCCAACGATTGTAGTTTCCTTCATTGAGAGTGACTGTAACACAGTTCACTATGTTGAGCGACGGAACTGAGAGAGAATCCATAGATCTAGCTACCGTGAGCTCTGATACCATGAAAAAATCTTAACATATTGATATAATGAAGAAGGTGACTGAATATTTTCTTTTTGATATTTCTACTTCTTAAGAGTTTCAGAGTTACAAAGCTGAGCTTTTATACACAAAACAAAAACCCTAAGGTTGTCTACAGATGTCTTCAATCTGACCCTCTGTTAAAGTATCAAATCGGTTTGTGGTTGGGATTGAAAACTTGATTTCCGTACGACCGTCTTTTTCAGTCTCGTGCTTTTCTCCTTTGATTTTGTCTTGTTGCAGAGTACATGACCGTTGTGTTGTTTTCCCACAATTCTGGTTTCCCGTAGGCTTCTCTTCTTTGTGGGCCAATATTTGATTTTCTGTTTGAACAGACTTGGGCCTGCAGACTTTCTGGGCTGTTTTCGTGTTGTGTTTAATACCTTGCTCTAGAAGGAATCTAAATCTATCATGTATTTTATTTACAAACAATTATTGAATTATTTATTTTATAAAAAAACAATGAATTTATACATCTTTAGTTAATATTCTCAAAAGTTAATTAAATAAAAGGAAGGATAATAACTAATTAATATAAAATGTAATTAATCTTAGTTATAAAAGAATGAAAAATTATTGACTATCTTACGATATATATAAGTCGACCGATTAATCTAAACAAACCAAAACGATGTTTGCAGCTCTATTAATCTTAACTTCTATTCTGTGAAAGGATTTGGCTACTTCTCTGAATTTCATAGAAGTTTCATAGCTTACCAAAGCCTTGACAATTTACCTCGATGTTGTTTATGATGGAATATTAATAGCCAACCTCGATGTTTCTGGAGGGACTAGAGAAGGTAGAAAGAGATGATTCGAGGCTAGAAACGAATAGCATGGAGATCGCTCTTTTCTTCCTTATGATAGTGAGGATGTGAATCGCAATGGACGATGATGGTGAGACGGTTTCAGGAGGTTTTTTTAATACATGAATCTCGATTATGATCAGAGAGTTATCATCGTAAATCGGGACTCTCGATGATCGAATAGAAAAGGGAAATTAATGAAACCCTAATGAGAAAAGATCAGATGCTCAATTTTGGTTTAAAGCGAAACCAATATATGCGTTCGGTTAATTTTAGCATTTAAATGTAATTTAATTGGATATTATGTTACCTTGACAACCCGTCGAAGTGGTTGTGTTTCATTAACGGCAACACGTGCTACCAGGATTCGAAGATGAAAAGTTGGTCTCTGTATTGGTTTTCTACGGTTTAACACATTTACAGTGTCTGCATCGAACATGGTTTTACGACGGTTTACGTCTACATAATATCTAAGCATTATATAAAATGAAGACTTAAATAGAAAAATAAAGAGTGATCATCTAAAATTTAATAATGAATCTACAGAGGTCTAATAATAAAAACCCAAAAGAAAATCAAAATATGAATATGATGAGGTAATTTAAATTACCTCTCTTTTGCCATTATTAATTACCAAAAGAAGATTACATAGCGGATGAATTATGGATGTAGCATAATTATATAACAAACCATTGAACAATCTCTTTTCTTGTACCTTAGTTCATTCTTGAATGATTAAGTTTCTAATACAATTAACAATCTACAGCCAGTTAATTTTAGCATTTAAGTATAATTTAATTGGACATTATGTTACCTTGGGAACCCGTCGAAGTGGCTGTGTTTCATTAACGGCAATATGTGCCACCAGGGTTCGAAGATACCAAAGATTGAAAAGTGGTTCTCTGTTATTGGTCTTCTACGGTTTAATACATCTACAGTGTCTGCATCGACATGGTCTACGACGGTTTACATCTACACAGTATCTAAGGCCAAATATATAATAGGAAAATAAAGATTGATCATCTAATAATAAATACTCAAAATAAAGAGTAAAACTTAATGAATCTACAGAAGTCTAAAAATAAAAACCCAAAATAAAATAAAAAATATGAATATAATGAAGTAATTTAAATTACCTCTCTTTTGCCATTATTAATTATCAAAAGAAGATTGAATAGCGGATGAATCATGAAAATAGCACAATTATATCACAACCCGTTGAACAATCTCTTTTCTTTTGCCTTAGTTCATTCACAAATGATTAAGTTTCTAATACAATTAACAATCTACGGCCGGTTAATTTTAGCATTTAAGTATAATTTAATTGGACATTATGCTACCTTGGGAACCCGTCGAAGTGGCTGTGGTTCGAAGATACCAAAGATTGAAGAGTGGTTTTCTGTATTGGTCTTCCACGGTTTAATACATCTACAATGTCTGCATCGACATTGTCCATGACGCAGTATCTAAGACCAAAATATATAATAGGAAAATAAAGAGTGATCATCTAATAATAAAAAAACCAAAATAAAGAGTAAAACTTAATGAATCTACAGAGGTCTAATAATAAAAACCCAAAATAAAATAAAAATTATGAATATAATGAAGTAATTTAAATTAAATACTTCTACAGATTATAGATTACAAATGTGGATATATTCATCGATCTATCCAACAATGCATTTCTATTTTTGTATGATTATAATAATCTTTTTTTCGTTCAAAGTATGATTATAATAACCATTTTCATATAATACACACTAGACAGTATTACTACATTTAGATTAAATCGTTATTTCTTTTCTAGACTACAAAAATCGTTATTTATCCCTTTGATATTATCGTCTATAAGTTTCAACCAACAAAATTTGACGCTTATCTTCTCTCCCTCTCTTTTGTGTTGAAGCTCTTTGGTGCGTATGTCCAGCTCCAATCGCGAAAAAGTATATATTTAAATATTTTTCTCACAAGCAAAAAGAAATCTTTTTTTTTTCAATTCTTTACAAAATTTATCCAACCTGTTAGAGAAAACCAAAGAAAGTGATTCTTGTTGTGATTTATTATAATTGATTTTTGGGATTATTTGTTGTTAAATTACTAAAATCTGCAAATTGGAAAATGTACGGGAATGGTCCGGTGTTCAAGGCGCAGGGAGCATCTTTCCGGGATCAACCTTACGCCGGACAACTTCCTCAGGGACTATGGACCACCGGTCTCTGCGATTGTCACGAAGATGGTCACATTTGTATGTTCTTATTCTTTAATTATCATTTTTCTTAATTGTATTTTTGATTGATCTGATTCTTGATCTCAAATGGATTCTTGAAAAAATAGGTGTTCAGACAGCTATAATGCCATGCGTCTCCTTCGCTCAAAACGCAGAGATCGTAAACAGAGGAACAATACGTAAGAAACACGTAATTACATATTATTGATTTGTTTTGCAAAGTAAAAAAGTTTCTAAAATTGGATTTTGGGAGACATGCAGCTTGTATGAACGCTGGTTTGATTCATCTAGCGTTAGGGTTTGTGGGTTGTTGCTGGCTCTACGCTTTCCCAAGCCGGTCAAGGCTTAGGGAACATTTCGCATTGCCTGAGGAACCATGTAGTGACTTTTGGGTCCATCTCTTTTGCACCCCTTGTGCCATTTGCCAAGAGTCTAGAGAGCTCAAGAACCGTGGCGCTGATCCTTCCATCGGTACGCAAACCTAATTGCTTTAACTTCCTCTACAAGACATCACAAAAACACATTGTTTTCTTGATTCTTTTTTCTTTCTCAGATTGGCTTTCGAATATAGAGAAATGGAGCCGAGAGAAACAAACTCCTCCTATAGTTGTACCAGGCATGATCCGCTGAGATTTTATTTATCCGCTCATTGTCTCTTTACGTATTGTAACTTTTCTGTAGAACGTGTTAGCTTTCTGATTTTTTAGCTTAGGTGAAAAAAAAAAGTTAAATAAAAGCGACGATTGATTCTGAATGCTAACATTTCACTACCAACTAAATAAGTTTATAACAGAGGATCTAAACGGCTAAAGAGGAGAGAGAGAGCTATGGTCTTTTTTAGTTTAAAAGATGTGAATGTGAAGATTTAAGACCAGAACTATGCTTTCCTTGTGGGTCACGGCAGGCTTAGACTCTTAGTCCCTAGGTCGGGCTAACCATAGAGAGCTAAGTGCTCTAAGCCGAGAAATATAGTCGTGGATGACCAAAAAAGCACGAGCAGCTTGTCTTGTGGTGAGAATCCTGTGAAGCTGCTGCAGAGTTTGTTGCCTCAATAGATCTGCCTGCAAAATGATGCATAACCTTTCAGGGATTTGGACTTAAAATACAAACTGTTATCGTTGTTGCTGAACGGTTTTTGTTTTTGTCTTTTCTTTACCTGACGAAGGAAGTTTTCGAGAGTGCCAAGCTTTCCCATTGCCATAGCCATATGACCCATATAGTCAGCAACATTAGCTGGAGAGTTTGGTCCCATCGAAGCAGAGGAAAGCGTCTCGAGAAGCGACTGTTGAAGAGCTTCCATGCCTTGTGACAATGCATCCTCTGCTTGCTGAGACGACTGTTGAAGGTTGCAGATGCCTATCAACTGCTGATCCGTCAAAGGATCCACATGGTTCCCCAATATCTAATCAAAAACATAAAACACCATTAATGATGAAAAGAAGAGATCCAAAACCAATGGACTCTGCCAAAAATGATTGAACCTTTCCTCTTTACCTTGAGTAGCTCAGATGATCTGAAACCACCTAACCACATGAAAAACCTCTCGGCTGGTGTCTTCCACATGCCTGAGAGCATGTGGAAAACGTCTACTTTAGTGCCGATTCCCTTTAGCCTGAATATCTCATCGTAATGGCTCATCACAGCGTCCACTAACACGCGTAGGTCGCTGTCGCCTAGCTGCGAGTTGACACCGGCTCTTAAGTCGTTTATCAGCCTTTGATGTTCCTCCATCCAACGTGCGTACTCCAGTTCAAATGAAAAGGCACCTGAAACATCAAAAAGATTAAGATCACTTCAATAGTTTCCCAAAAGATTCAAGAACTGTTATGTGGGATGGTGAAAGTCTTACCATTTCCAGCAGCCACATGAGTTTGTTCCCTTGAAACTCCGCTTTCAACTGAGCTTCCCTGAAACCCATCAATACAAAGTTAGTAAAGCTTGAAGCTTTCTTCTTCCATGGCGCATTGTAAGAGCTAAAAAGTCACCTGTTGGCGAGCTCTTTTGAGCTCTTCCTCTAGCTGTGCTAGCCTGATTCGGCTGTTCTCAAGTTGCTGAACATATGCCTATTAAGAAACAATGCAATGCAAAGATAAAGTAAAATTTTCACAGATAGTGGAAGATAGAAAATGCAGTTCAGTGAATCGGTTACTATACTTTTTTCCTCAATCGACTTTTCCTAGCAGCTTCCCGGTTCTGAGCGAGTCTTCGAAGTGCCTGCCAAGAATTTGAATGTGAAAAGTTAAACCAGAAAATCCAAAAATTCAAGAGGTTCTCAATCAGAAGATCAACGCTTTGTTCACTAGATTTTACCTTGGATTTATCTGAACAATTTGTAGCCAAAAGCATTCCTTGATGAGCTCCATTTAACTAAAACAACACAAGCCAAAATAGCTAATATCAAACATAAACTCTCCTCCAACCATAACATACTCAATAGTCAATATTGAAGGTACAGTTTGCATTTAAAGCCATGGGCCAGTAAATTCAATATCCTTTTATACCATACAAAAAGCATAAAACCTTTACAAGCAATTGCATTTTTTCAAGTCATGGGCCAGTGAACAATCGCATTTGTTTTTGTTTTCAAGCCATGTGCCATTGAAGTTAATGTCATATCCATAAAAAGGAAGAAACTTTACATGAATTTTCTTTTTTGGGGGTCGCCTAACAGATAATGGTCGGTAAGTTCAACAATGGTGAGACCCATTAGACTCAAGAAAACAGACCAATCCTTCATTGAAATGGACGAGAGAGAGAGAGAGAGAGAGAGAGAGAGAAAATCTGAGTAAAATAAGTATTGATCGAATTCCAAGATGACCCATCAATGAGAAATTATCAAAACCAAAAGGGACAAAACAAAACTCCAAGTTAAGAAAACAAACAGAAATCGAAATACAGAATCTTTTCAATTTTTATTTTCTGGGGGTGTGACAGTGAATGATTAACGAAGAAGACAAAGGAACAAAACCTGAGTCTTGTCATCAGTATCAATATCTGTAGAAGTGTCAGTATGTTGACTGTTATCAGCCATGGCTGAAACTGAAACCGAAACCGAATCGCACCACTTCTCTACTAAACTGCTGTTCACTTCTCCTCCTACTAACCTTGTCCCTCTCTGGTACACTAACTGCCCTGTGTCCAAACACCCCTCTTCTCCTTCAAGTCTCTCCCTCAAGCCACACTCCATACCCTTAAAAACCAAGAAGACATTTAAAAGAAACTGATTCAACAAAAGGAAACTTTTTTATAAAAGAAATTGGAGGAATATAATTTACAGAGATGGGTTTGGTAGAAAGGAATCAACTTTTACCGTATCAAACGTCGTGTAGTGTAAGTTTGAGGAAGCAATAGTGACATCTGCAAGAAATCAGAAGATGGAACCTACTCTGAGATTGATTCCTTCAACGAAGCTTAAGAGCATTTGTAGTTGGAAACTTGTACTTATACAAAAAAAAAAAAGAAGAAAAAGGAGCTGACTTGGACTTAAATCCACAGCTTCGTCATGGTGAAAACCATTAGTGGGTTGATGAAACTCTTCAAGACAACTATCTCCTCTGTTTCTTCGTTGCAAACAGAGAAAATATCAGTTTTTTTTTTCGTTATTGAAGATTTGAATATAAGATAAAGAGGAGATTTTTGAGGTGTAGTGTATTATTTACCTGAAGAAGAAAGATGATTGGGAGTAGAAATCAGTGTTGAAAGGAACCGTCTTGAAGCTGCTCTGCATTGTTACGACAACGAAACTAAAACAAAAAAAAGAGAAAAAAAGCTCTGAGCTTTCTTGTGCAGATGGGTTTCAGAAGGAAGGAAGAAGATGAAGAGTGAAGTTAAAAGGGAAGAGGAAAATTCATTAAAGGGTGAAAAGATGGCGAATCAGTACGGCTGGAAGGATTCATCATTAATAAATACGAATAATATTATGCAGAGAGAAAGAGAGAGAGAGTGAATCAGAGAAGGATTTTCAGATTTATTTAAAGTGTAATTGAATTGCGTCTGAGATGGTGGGATTTTAGTTTCCCAATACCCAACACACACAACCACGTACCCCATTTTTTTCTTTATTTTATTATCACTATTTTATGGTATATAGATCTCATTAGTGGTACAGAGAATGAAAAACATAAAATCATACTTTACAGAGTTTTTAAAATTTATGATGATTCAATAATATGACTTTTTTTTTTGACAACGAAAGATTATATAATATGACTATATGAGATTTGTTAAGATGATGTATCATTGATGGATAAATCGGTCATGACTTGATATGAGTCATCTACAGTCTCTGTTAACTTAAGGTTAGAAAATTGGTTTACATATGTTCAAAAAAAAAAAAATGGTTTACACGCATAAATTGCAAAGGAAATGGAGAAACTAAATGTAAAAAGCTTTTTAAAAATTATTTACACTAAAATAACCAAGCAATCCACCAACCAGTAAAAAAATGAGCTAATCCACTCAACTTTGTGTAAATAAAGTAAAGTTAATTTTCTTTTTTGGAAAGAGACCCATTGTTACCATTTGATTATAATGTTTATCGGTTTAAAAAAACACAGAACTAAAATATTTAAAATACGAGATAAATATGCCACATATATATATATAATATGTGTAGATTAGAAATTCACAGTGGAGCAATAGTTTATAGTTTTAGCAATCCCACATGTCAACTATATTGGTAGTATGTAAATTAATTACCAAATCATAAAATAGGTTAGTTTAAAGTTATAAATGTGTGAGACAATAGGATTCGAAAAAGTCGAGAGTGTCTTTGAGAATTTAAAAGCAGTACTGGATTGTAATTATTTTTAGTGTTTTTACCTTTAAGTGCTTCTCTGGTAACTTAAGTAACATAACATTTTTACTAATAATCTCGAAAAAGATAGAATACTTTAAGCATGGAAATATATACAATGTGTATATCTATATATGTATGTATATGTAATGAAGAGCCTGGATATTTCAGATTCAGAGGTCATTTCCATCTTGTTAGTGTCTGCCAGAGTTGAAAATTGCCTCTCAACACTGCACTCTGAGTTTTTTTTTTCCCATGCACAGAAGATAAAAATTTCAAACTCTTATTTTGTTTTATCTAATTTAATTCATTACAACATAATGCACATGACTTATACGGATAAACGGAATAAAAGTTGTAATAATCAATGCACGAGTTCAACGATAATTGTAGTAGTTTAGATAAATCTACTCATGAATCATGATGATTGTTGAAACAATGCATTTTTCTCACTCCTTTCTTCTCTCCTGTAGAACTTTCAAAAGAAGTGAAATTAAGCTAGAGCTACTAAGCCTATTTCTCAATGATTTATTTTTTGAACATCTCAATGAGTATCTCTATACTTTAATTGATTATTTAAGTTAAATAAAAACATGTAGTATTAATGAAAACTAGTTGCCATAGTCTTGGCTGGCTTCTGTTTTGAAGTTGATGTGATGTTGATGGAAAGCGAATTAAAATCTTATATTTTTTTAATTTTTATAAATCATAAGTACACAATTAAATGAATCAATTTCTAATAGTATCCTTCTTTAATGATAAAAACCTAATGATATAGCAGAGATATTAACTTTTATATTCAGTGGACCGATGAAGAAAGGGGGCATTAAAAAGAAAAGCTTTGCTTGAAAGAAACATCTTCCTCTTATAAATGGGGAAAACTATTATGAGCTTTTTACCTTATTTTACTTTATGGATCACACAAATTAAGTATCACATTTATTACTGTCTCCTCTTCTAAAACCAGCAAACTCTCATATCTCTCGGAGACTCCATTGACTTTTTCTTATATACAAAATATTCAAACTCTCTATTGTTTATAAACCGGGAAATTGCATTTACCTATCTTTTATCCACCATACAGGAAACGTACCAAATTTTAAAATGGTTTGGACCAGAGAAGTACATTGGCAGAGTCAATGACGTTTGGGCTCTGTTTAGTCTTGTGGGTTATTTCTTGTTTTTACTCGTCAGAATCCGATCTTGTCTCTTTCTTCTTCATTTTTCTTTTTTAAAATTTGGTATAAGTGATAATCGTAAGAACTTTTCTCTGTTTGGAAATGACCCCATTTCTCTGTATCCTATGTACCATTTTTTTTTTATATTTCTGATTTCACTTTGTTTTCTACTTTTTTTTTGCTTTCACAAAGCCTTCTTAATACCTTTTTTCGACAGTACATTTTACATTTGACCAAAACAAACCATGCACAACTTACTATTGATGATTTGACAAGTAGTAAAAAAAGACTCATGTTGTTACAGTAATCACTTAGGGTTAACGAGGGTTTCAACTATATAAAACAAATTGTTTTAAGGAAAATCCAAATCTTGGAACTGGAACACTGTTCAGTGTACCTGATAAACTAAGAAAGTAGCTTTAGAGGATGAGATGACTCTATAGTACCTGATAAATAAAGAATCGTGTCTCATTTTTTATTAGTTTCATTTTCATACAACCCTTCATATATTTAAGCTCAAAAAAACTCGGCAGCTTTACATATTTATTACTAAGTTTAGAACTGAGTCTTTTTAGCCAAATATAAAAGAATTTAAGACATTACCAAAGTAAAGAAAATTGATAAACATAAGTTCCACGTGTTTATAAGCCCATAAATCGGGATTGTGTTGTGTTGTGATACTTGTGTGTGTGTTCTATGCGTTTTTTGGCCGATGATTGCGACTTCAAGCCAAACCTAAAGCTGGTGAAACTTTCATCACGAGTCAAAAACATTTGTGTTGGGTTTACAATAAGGTGGTCATGGATGGTTCCATCAATTTTGTAGACATTGAACATACTCTTTTAGCATTTGAAATCTACTTCCAAATAATCCATCCTAAAGAAAAGAATAATCATTTTCCTACCAAATTCCAAAAAAAAAAAAGACAAAGATCAACTCACAATATCACACAATATAGATTATATTTTATGGTGGTTGGGAATATATACACTTTGATCTACGTTAATTTCCATCGTCTAAACATGAGAAATAGCGAATACTATTACACAATAGATAAATAAAACAAAAGCATCATATCTTCCGTGTGATTTTCGAATCATATTCTTCCACGTGGCGAGATCTCACTACTGAGAGAATCTGGCCGTATAGCTTTATCGCGTGCACTCCACACTCCCCCCCCATCAAAGAGCAAAGAGTCAACAAACAAACAAACATTCACCTTCTCTTGCGCGACTTTCCTCCTCCTCAGCTCCCGCCGGAATCAGCAAACCGCGCCGCCGTGGGGTTTTTGCCGGTTATTCCTGTTTCGTAGCTTGTTCGCCGTCGATTTTACACAGCGGACATGGGCTCGCTTGTGCAGGTACGCGATCTAGTTGAAGCTAATCTCTTTTTTTCGTTTGTTTGTTGTGTGGAATTGGTGTCGAAAGCTTAAATCTGGGTTTTTTTCTAACTGATGGGTTCTTTAGGGTTTTACTAAGTCACTCGCCATGACTTTCGTCTCCGAGATTGGCGACAAAACGTTTTTCGCTGCTGCTGTAAGTGATCTTCCTCCTCTCTCAATATACATGAACTTTTCTTACTCTTTCTTCTTCTGCTAAGTCAATGACTGATATGGACTTTAACGGCGAGATATGTTCTTCGATTCAAGAACAATTGTTTCATTACTTATTGCTAGTTGAGACTTATTCTTTTTGTGTTGTAATAATGCTTCTGTGCCTAATTGTTAAATGTGTTAACTTTATTAACTAGATTTTGGCGATGCGTTATCCTAGGAGACTTGTGTTGGCTGGTTGTTTATCAGCCTTGATTGTAAGTTTCTTACTTTAGAGACTATTCATTCAAATGAACTCTCTGAAAAGATTTTGAAAGCTCATATCTTTGCTATTGATACTTTAGGTCATGACTTTTCTATCTGCTACCATTGGTTGGGCTGCTCCAAATCTGGTTAGATAGATACTTTGTTTAATCCTTTAAGATAGCCTTTTTACCATGAACTTTAGCTACTAGATTTGCTGATTCAAAACCCACACACTTTTTGCAGATCTCTCGTAAATGGACTCATCATATAACAACACTGTTGTTCTTTGTCTTCGGGTTATTGTCTTTGTGGGACGGTTTTAAAGAAGGAGGGTAAGCGGAAAATTTTGTTTTCAAGAAGTTCATGTAGCTTTGTGAAATCACTTGGTCATCCAAATCTGCTTTTTTATGTGCCAGGGGTTCTGAAGAATTGGCAGAAGTTGAAGCAGAACTGGTTTGGTTTTTTTTTCTTCTTGTAAACACTTTTTCATGTATTAAAAATTATGCTTTTAGGTTGACACTTGTTTGATATAATAGGATTCTGATTTGAAGAGTAATGATCGAACGAAGAAAGACAGTAGTAAGGTATGGAACTAAAATAACTGAGAGCTTCATGACTGCTCTAGACCGGTACTACCTGTGCTAAGGTTTTTAACTTTGTCTTTTGATGAACAGAAAAAGCAGAACAGACCATTCCTCACTGCCTTCTTCTCTCCTATTTTCCTCAAGGTAATGTATAACTTTCCGCATAATTTCTGTTAACAAGAAGTGGACTTTTTGCAAATTTGGTTTCATATTTTCACTCGCTTCTGCAGGCGTTTTCGATTAACTTCTTTGGTGAATGGGGTGACAAGAGTCAGGTATAGCTTTCCTTCTCCATCATTTTGCTCATTTTGCTTCACGTACTCACTGTAACTCTAAAAATCTATTTCTAGCTTGCGACTATTGGTTTGGCTGCTGATGAAAACCCACTCGGCGTGGTCCTTGGTGGAATTATGTAAGCCTTCACATAATTTGATTTGTATCAAAACTGATAAGCCCTTTTCTCATTGCTGACGAATCTCTCTGCTTGCACACAGGGCACAAACATTGTGCACCACAGCCGCTGTGATTGGTGGCAAGAGCTTAGCATCCCAAATATCAGAACGAATTGTAATTATTTTCAATATATCCCTCTCTCTCTCTCTCTTCATTGAAGCCTTTTGAGTTAAGATTTTTGATCAAATGGGGTCTTATGTTTGTGTTTGCAGGTGGCTCTCTCCGGTGGAATGCTTTTCATTATCTTTGGCATCCAATCGTTTCTTTCTCCGGTTGATGCTTGATGACTCTATATTGGTATTTACTCAATTGCAACTAAAATCATTTTTGGCAATAGCATTCATATATATATATACTATAATCCTCTCTGAGTTTTCCTCTTAAAACTGCAGGTTTCTTGAATGCTTTGTGGCTAGCTGAAGAAGCCGAAAAACGTTACACTTCCCTTACAATTTGCTTTAGATATTTACATTAGTGATGATTACAGAATCAACAAAAGATCCATCTGTAACACCATCTAACTTCAATAAAAGTTTTGTTATTTGCATATATCTTCAAGATCAACTTCAACAAAAGATCTATAACACGTTCATTTGCATATAGTAACAAGTCTTGTACCAAATCTCTGATCTTTATATACATTAAAAAAAAAGGGACAATTTTTTTGACTAAATAGAGAGTGTGGCCTTGTGAATGCGGAAAATAAAATCTATACGAGTTTGAATTAGTTTCTTCTCAGCAGCCTCCACCATCAGGTTCAACGGAACTGAGAAGACCGTTTCCGCGAAGCTGCATACAGTGTTGCTCTGCGTCGGCCTGAGCGCAGACGATCACGACAGCCAAACCGTTGATGTGGGCTTCTTGCATGATGTTGACAGCGTTGTCTACGGTCATGCCTGGTATCACCTTCATCAACACCTGAACCACATACTCTCTCTTGTTGAAGTTGTCGTTGTGTAGTATCACTCTGTAAGGTGGAGCCATCTTCTTCGATTTTCTGAACCATACAATATAAGCGTGGGTCTTAAGGACTGTACAGCCTATATATGTTGGTATTAAGAGTGTACAAGGCATACCTTAAATCAAACTCGGATTCACGACCAGGAGTGGTTTTCTCTATAATTGGTTTGTCTAACACACCGCCTCCTTTACCCAATGCGGAGGTAGACAAGGCCATGAGAAGGCCACGATTCAGACATGGACCTTTTGAGACTAACTGTTTGTCTCCTGCACACAACAGCAAGAAACAGAAAGAGAGTGATCCGATGTTATTACATGACATCCTTGGGAACCAAATGACAGAAACTGAAACACAAGATGAGAGACAGCGAACAAATAATGTTTCAAGCGTTTTGCTGCAGTTATGAACTTCCTTCAAACCTTAGAGCTAATAGTGCATTCATTAGACTCAATCAAGCATAGAGCTGAAACCAAACCACTACTACAGAAGCCACAGAGACAAACAAAAAAAGAGAAAAAAAGTCTGAATCTTTTAGAAAGGGCATATTCAGAAACATCAACATATCTTTTTTTTGTAAATTTTTACAACCTTAATTTATCAAATTCATTTCATTGAAGCTTAATGTATCCGGTTGATCAGATGAATCTCATAAAAACAACATGAACCCTCCTCATATGCCCAACAAAACGATTGTCAAAAAATCCAAATATTCCCACAAATAAACATCGACCCATAAACAAAATCTGTAATTACCATTTGGGATGAGCAATTTATACACACAAATACGAAATTTAACTAATTAAAGCTTCAAACTTTCATTCTGCAGAAGAAGAAGAAGAAGAAGAAAACTCGGATTATAATACAAAGGGCAAGTTGATAAGGAAGCAGAGGTAGAGAAGAAGAGAAGAAGAGACCTGATTTAGAATTGAAGAGAGTGCTCGGTGCGAGAGCTAATCTCCCACATATCGCAGTCTCCATGTCGTCTCTCCTTCGAGTGGATGCTTCTCACTTCTCGAGTCCCAAAACACACACAAATAATCAGGACCGAACAATTATAATCACTACGAATAACGAGAAATTCAGAAATTGGTGGTTACGGAATTTCAACGTTGCCTGTGCCTCAAAACGCTGCGTTTTATACCTGCAATTTTTTTTTAATTACAGTAATTACTGAGTGATTAGGGATTAAACCGATTTGGCTGAGTGGAACCATAAACCTTTTGCGTGACTATCCCGATTATACCGAACCAATAAATTATTTCTGGTGGTTTATTAACGGTTTAGTGGCTCTAAGAGGACTTGGAGACTCTACCAAATTACCAAACCTCTCAGCTGAATTCGCAACTGACTTGTCTCATTCTCTATCTTCATGATCCCTATTTCCTCACTTGCTATTCCTTTATTGGGCTTGGGCTTGGGCTTGTGTCGGTAAATGCTATCCCCTTGCTTGTTCATAAATTCATTTCTTTTCTTTTTCCTTGAATTCGAAGCATACACAAACACATTGTCAAATTTTCACTGGATTTGTTTCCAATATGAAAAATTGAAAACCCTAGAACGTTAGAGACAATATACTAAAACTCAAAGGGTTATGCAAATATAATTTTATATTTTATTTTGTTAAACAATTTTTATATTTTTTTAAAAAATATTCTTACACAATGTTATAACTTATAACCGTAATTCAGCACCACCAAATTCTAAATACTCAACTCAACTGACTTGACACAACAACAGTTGTGTTACATTCTTTATTCATTCACCAAAAACAATAATTTCCTTTTAAATTCTTACGTACTGCTGAAAACGACTAACCGTATTCTTTGTTCTATACAACTTGTACCAAATTGTCAAACATGTTTTTATTCTTCTTGATGCAATCTTGAAGATCTTCCTTGATCCTTACGGCAAGGATTTTCTTGCTCTAGTCACGTTCTGTCACGTCACATTTGGTCTAAATTTTCACCTTAGTGTTCCACTTTATCAATGGCCTTGATGCATATTTTCTCAGATAAGTGTCTTTATGTGTTACATACACCAAAGTTTCGTGTTATGTACCTTCCAAAACCTTGGAACTTACTCAATGTACAAGCATTTAAAAATCCCACGTACCTAATTTGGATTATAATTTGGGATTGTGTTAATATAATTTGGATCATATAATTTATAATCATACCTTGGATGTGCTAAAGGCGACTTTACTATCTTCTGCCGATAACACTTATAAGTGAGTGAGAAAATTACCGCTATATATATATTACAACCATTTTTTGTATAATTTTTCGTTTGTGAGTGTTCTATAATAAAGTGAATCAATAGCAAAAAAAAAAATTGCTTCATCTGAATCCATGATAATAAAGTGAATTGGTTTCGTTGCTTGATTTGTGATGAAGGAAGTGCTCCTAAATGTGCAAATTGTTGGAGACCTCGACTCCATCATTAAAAGGCTTATAGGTACATTACACAAGGATGAATATTTTAGGTATTGTTGGTTCCTTTCCCTATAGTAACAATTATTATTATGTGCTATTAATAGATGGAGCCAAGCTCGTTATAAATTAAATATGTCCCACACCTACAAAGTGAGGACCAAACATGTGTGTTGCTGCTTCTGTCCATTAAACTGAGACAACAAAGTTCTTCTATGCGTGAATTTTAACATGTTCTTTCTTAAAACATATTTTAGTTTTCGGACAAAGAACATGTTAGAGAAAATGAATCTGATCTTTTGCATATCAACCTGATTAAGCATGTTATAATCTACAGGAGGCAGATGATCTGTCATTATAATTTCGTTTCATAATTGTCATAAAGAGGTAGACCCACTTTATATATATATAAAAAATAAATCAATGACTATTGGCCCATAATCTTGCTGCATCTAGAAAATATCAAAATACAAAATACCCTTTCACAAAACTATTCCATATTTTTACAAATCTAAAACCTAATGTGTAGGCCTGGACGCGGAGCAGATATCCGGAAAATTTTAAGTATTTGTGGTTTGCTCCGTTTTTATCGGATATCTGATTTTGTGATTTGTTTTGCTTCGAAAAAATACGGATATCCGGAAATGCAGATATCCGGAAAATTTACAAATATTTACGAATATTTGCGGATATTTACGGATACTTATAGATATTAAATTTGTTCCATTCAATACAACTAAAATGTGAAAATACATGCCTTTCTTTTTAAAATATAAACTACCAATTAAAAATAAGTGAAATAACTATTTTTATTTAAAAAAATAGATATAAATAATAAATTATAATGATAGAAAAATAAAAACTATGTTTTATATTCTGAAAAGAATATTATTTAATTAAAACTCTAATATAAACTTTTCTAATTTAATTTCAAATATTTGATAACTATTATAGATGTTTATTACTTACTTCGAAATTGTTATATGTATTTTTTATCATACATATTCTTTTTTTTATTTATTAATAAGATAATTAAACTATATAAAAATATTAAAAATTTATAATATTAATATGTATATATATAATCTACGGATCGGAGCGGATATCTGAACTTTCAGAAATTAGTATTTGCGATTTGATTTATTTTAGATGGATATTATATTTTAATATTTGTTTTGTTTTGAATCGTTACAGATATCTGGATTTTTCGAATCGAATCGAAGCAAATAACGAATCGAATCAAATATAACGGATAATATGTCCACCCTTAGTAATGTGAGAGAAAAATCGAACCATCTATGACTTCTAGATGAAAAATCGAAGCAATTAATGACAAAGAATCTAAAATAGATAACAACGAAACCAAATGTACAGAAGAAAAATATAATTCCAATAATGACAAAAGCAAATCTGGTTTGCATCAATTGAATACTTGAGAAGATTTTGTCACGTGGGCACGCGCGGGATAGAAGCGCGTGAACATCGACAAGTGCAAATGGCTCTTGAGAAGAATCAAAGGTCGGAGATAATATTTATCAATAATCATACGCGGCGTGGGCAAATGTGAATCTCACGCTTCTTTTAAAGATTCTCATTTTTTTTTCTTTCTTTCTCGTGATTCCTTTTTCTTTGTATTTTCTCTAAGGAATATTCTTTCATCAAATTAGCTCATTCTCCAATTCAATTTCTTTATTATATATTTGTTCCACTTTCTCTAATCGCACAAACTAATCACAACAAATATCGTCAAATTCTTGGTTATTTAAACACTCACTAGTACTTATTAGTTAGCTATATAAACGCATAGTTTATCATTAATGATAACTTGCTTACAAAAAAATTATTGAATTTGGTTATCTAGTGCATGTAAACTTCAAATTTGTGTTTTAGTAATTATTAGTGCATTAAAAAACTCTGGATTTTTAGTTTATTTATGGGAAAAAGCTTTGAGAATCTTAAATTTGGGAGACAGAACACAACATATATCTATTGTTGTTGAGTCTTCGTTCTTATCTAAAAAACGCTTAAAGAGATTGAGAATAGTGACGTCAGTTTCTCCAACCCAATCCAGATGCGACCAAAACCGAATCTGATCCCTCGAATATTCACACAACACCAAGACCCACACACATCTTTAAATTACGTTTTTACCCTCCTCTTTCGTTTTTTTGTTTTTTTTTAAAAAAAAAATCTCAGAAATTGAACTCTCAAAGATTCGTTTAGGTACGCGACGACCCGACCTCGAACTCCTTCCATGTTCTAAACCATTTCTCTCTCTCTCTCTCTCTCTCTCTCTCTATACAGAATTTTCTCCATGTTTATTCCCTTCTCTGATTCCATTTAGATCCAATATTCTTTCTCCATTCCTCTATAGATCTATCCATTTCGTTTGAATCTTTATAAAAGAAGAAGCTTGATTAAATAGTAATGATGGTTCAGAGCATGGAGATTGATCACGCTCAGAAAATGCAGAGATGTCATGAGTACGTTGAAGCTCTCGAAGAAGAACAAAAGAAAATACAAGTCTTTCAAAGAGAGCTTCCTCTATGTTTAGAGCTTGTCACACAAGGTAAATATTTTTTTTTAAAAGTTTCAATTTTTAATTTTATCACACTCTCGCTCCAATTCATTTCATTTTCTAATGGGTTTTTGGTTTTATGTAGCGATCGAGGCGTGTCGGAAGGAGTTATCCGGTACATCGACGTCGGAGCATATTCATGGTCATTCGGATTGTTCGGAGCAGACGACGAGCGTTTGCGGCGGACCCGTCTTTGAGGAGTTTATTCCGATCAAGAAGAGCGAGGAAGACGGCGAGCATGAGTCTCCTCAAGCTGAGGAGATTGATAACAAGAAGAAATCTGATTGGCTTAGATCTGTTCAGCTATGGAATAATCCGTCGCCGGATCCAAACCCGAAAGAAGTATCCAACTCGGAACGCGTGGTGGTTGAGGTGAAACCAAACACCGGCGGTGCGTTTCAGCCGTTTCGGAAGGAGAAGAAACGCGTTTTTTCGGAGACTGATTCGCAGCCGGCGGTTAAAGCAGCTTCTTCTGCGCCGGCGCCGGCGACGACGACCGGTTCCACGACGGAAACCGGCTGCGGTAAAAGCGGTTCGGATAAAGCGGGGGAGGAGCAGATACAACACCAGCAGCCATCGCAGTCGCAAACGCAGACGCATAGAAAGCAGCGGCGATGCTGGTCGCCGGAGTTACACAGACGGTTCCTTCACGCGCTTCAACAGCTCGGAGGCTCGCATGGTAATTATCGATTCTCTCTTCTCTGATTGGCTCATTAGTAAATTAGATTGGATAAAGAAATTATTTTTATTTGTTATATTTAAATTGTCCCAATTTTGCAGTTGCCACACCAAAACAGATCAGAGATCATATGAAAGTCGATGGATTAACAAACGACGAAGTTAAAAGCCATTTACAGGTGAATAATCAAATTTTATGTTAAATCTGATCTGATTTGAAGTTTTTTTAGCATTTTTATTGGTAATTAACATTTTAGATACTATTTGTGGAATATTTAGAAATATAGACTTCACACAAGAAGGCCAGCGACGTCGGTGACGGCGCAGGGTAACGGAAACTCGCAGCCACCGCAATTCGTGGTGGTCGGAGGGATATGGGTCCCGTCGCCACAAGATTATCCTCCACAGTCCGATGTAGCCAACAATAACGGTGTATATGCTCCGGTGACGGCGCAACCACCACCGTTACCACCGCAATCTCCAAAGCTCTCGGTGGAGAGAAGTAGCGGCCGTTGCAACTCGCCGGCGGTATCTTCCTCTACGGATACAACAACTACTTCTCCTGTGTCATAGTAGTCGACCTTTTGATTTGATTTTGTATGTTTATTACAAGTGAATGTAAGATTTGTAACCAAAGATGTTCTTTCATAGGTTGAAAATTTTGAATAAAATGACGAATGCTATAGTATATACATAAGTAAAGAGCCTTTTTATTTGTATCTTTGGATTTTTGTTACTTGTTTTGGGTGTCGAATTTTGACTGATCTTCGTGATGAATTCAATTTAATTATAAGATTTTCGAATACTATGTATTATTTATATCTCTTTATCAATATATATATGTATGAATAAAGTTGTGCTAATGTAACGATTATGGACGAAAATGTCATTGACGCACACAAATAGAAACCTTTCTTTAACAAGGAATTATATATAAAGCGAGGTTATTCATTTTCTTTCTTGACAGAATTGACTTATTAGTACATTTTTGTTCTAAATCATTTTTTTACTGGCACATCCAGAAAATTCGACTTCTGCGAACCGTTAAAGTACAAAGTTTATAAAGGATCTTAGAAGAATGAGAATCAAGTGCGTGATGAATTAGCTAGTATTTTGGTGTGACAATTTGTTTTATTTATGGTAACGCTTGATTAAAGAAGGGCACGTAAAACGTGTTAGGCGATAAATCAATTATCCATCTACCAAAGTCACCGAACCAACCATTAACCATGACAGAATAGATTACCAAATCTATCATTTGCATGGCAACGCTATATAAAGTCTTCATTAAAATAACCCTAACGTGGCATAATCAAATTAATAATATATCCTCACTATAATATGATTGATTAATATCCGTTTTTTTTTCCTTCACTTGAACCACACATAATCCTACCAACACCACAATCACTATGTAACAAAAGCATACTCGGTAAACCTTAAGAAACTTTAATAAGGATGTTCTACATAAACTAACTCTGATGTACGTACAGGACTAGTAAATCAATCCACTTACTGTCTCCATCATCTTCATCACTGCCATTCTCAAGATCTCCAGCAAAGGATAAGCCCTTAATCTTTCTCTTCTTGCTACGCTTCTGTTGTTGAAGCTCTTCTTCCCTGTAGTTTGGAAACAAAGTCGATGAAGCTTAATCCAAATAAAAAACACATCAAAAACAAGTGAAGAATGTACCTAAAAAACCAAACTCACTCTTGCTATAGCTTATGTAGTTTCTCCTTCTCTTATGCTGCAGTCGCTGATGCTTGGAGAGGACTTTGGTACTTAGAGGATCCGCTAACATGATCATCGATATTGAGCTTAAAGCTCTGGTTCTTGGCTAATTGCGAGATATTGGGTTTTATCATTGGACTTTTACCTATTTCCACTTCTACTAAGAAAAAACCATCCAGTCGATGCTTGAGCCTATTTCTACATAAGTTGGGAAAACCCTTTTTCGTTGTTTCACCAACCAAGATCGTCATTAATTCAGCATTCATTGCCAAATATCCTCCATGGCCTATTTCCTTCCCATTACTCAACTTACACATGATTGCTTTCACACCACTGATAATTTTGAGATCCATCATAATAACCACATGATGCTCAACATGTACCATTTTTGCACATTCAGGTCTACGGTAGTTAGGCATATATATGATCTCTAATTTCTTTACTCCAATCTTTATCCCACCCTCGTACCATCTTCTCATATTCAAGTCTAGGGTAGATACGCATCTTCAATTTCTTCACTCCAATTTTTATCCCACCCTTTAAACAATGTTAGTCCCGCAGCAACTGGATACCTTAATTTAAGAAGCTCCAAAGTCACATTAGTGTAGGATAATAGAAAATCTTCGAGTTCTTCACCTTCACTTGACTTACGGCAACTGAAGAATTCCTCGTCAGGCTTTTTTCTTCTTATGCCGTGATTTTTAGCATAACAAAACCCTTCTTACAAAGTACAGCCAAAGCAACAGTGATCCTCAGAGATGGTCTTCTCCAACAATATTTTAAGTCTTCATTAATTTAACCCTAACGTGGCCGCCTCTGAATTGTAGAGCTGATGGTAACCATAATCAAATCAATAATATATCCTCACTATAATAATATGGTTAATATCCTTTTTTTCTTCACTTGAATCAGGTTTTCTTTTGGATAAGCTTTTCTTTAAATAATATATAATAGAAATTATATTCGCTGTGTGAAAAGTCCACGAGTTCTTATGTTGACTTTTATCGAAACATTTTATGTTTTCGTCAACTTCCTTCGTTCTTATGTTGATTTTTCTTTCTTTTTCTTCATATCGTTCTTATAATGTTTGTTAAACGTTTTAGAATCACTCAATCACACGTATTTATAGACTTTTATATTACACCATCGCACTGTTTTGTTGTATATTCTTTCCCCAATTCTGTTAGTCTCTCTCTACTTCCTCTAATCGAAGATGGAATCTCTCTTTTTATTTTATTTTATCATGGTAAAATGATATGTACTACAGTACTACTCAAATCTTTCTATTTTACAAGTAGTTTATAAACTTGTTGAATATGTAGATAAAAAATCTATTTTTTTCGTATTTTGATTACAGTTTTTTAAAAAATAACCAAGGTTATTAAAATACATAAAACTACATTATATGATATGAAATAAAATAAAATAAAACTTCACGTATATAATTTCTGTTTTTTTAAATTAAATATGGGTGCAGTTTATGTTGTTTATCCGGTAACTAAGGACATGGAGCCATACAATTACGGATTCGAATAAATCTAAATGGGTTGTATTAATTATCAACTTAACATGTGACCCTTCACTTCCTCTTAAGTCAAGTGGCCTTTCCTTTTCCACCAATGCATTCAACTACCACCTGAATACTTATGTTCTTTAATTTCTAACTAGGTGTTGTGTTTCTCCGCACCTTGTGCGGAGTTAGATTAATTTTTTTTTTAAAGTATAACATTAGTTTATTTATAGATAAAAAAATTAAATTTTATAATGATTCGAAACTAAACTTAATATAATTGAAAAAATACAATCATTGTTTTTTGTGATAAAATAAAATATATTATTTATATTTTATTTTTTAATATTTTTATATTATCCGATAAAAACTTATAAATATGTTTTGTTGTTTTGTTGCATTTATCAAATAAATTAAATAATTCTTTTCCTTTGCTGTAAATTAGTAGATTAAGATTTATAAAATTCAAAGTTTGCATTAAAAAAAAACATAGCAATCCAAAATGACCAAAACTAAAGGATCCTTGTTTCATATCAAATTAATATTAATTAATATATATAAAGTTTTAAAAAGGTGTAAATGATTTAGAATTTTACTTATGATCGCATAAATCAATTAAGTTAGTCAAAATATTAGTAGGTTAGACAATCAAATTATAATTAGTTTAATGAAATAATTAGGATTTTTTTTATTTATTCTAGTTACCTTTTTTTAGTAAACTGTATATTTTAATGATATAAACTTGAATTTGGAAATCTATATTTAAAAAAAAAATGAAAATTAATTAAAAATTAGATTATATTAATTTGTTAATTTCATTAAGGGTAATTAAAGTAAATTCACATAAGGGGCAAAAGGTAATCAATCATCATAACTTTCAACCACAGCTCAACTTGCTTGTCAATTAATAATATGATTTTAGAGATAACCAAAATAGTTTTTCTTTGGGACGAGAAAGAAAGTCTCATCTTTGTTCATTTGATAACAAAAAATGTCTAAGACGCATCATTAACTTATCCGTGGTTGGAAATTTTGTAAATTATCATCTTCAACTGAATAAAAATTCTAGTAATACATTAGATATTTAGATTTCAGATTTTTTTTTTTTTAATACTAAATGTGTTAGAAATGCGGCTTGACACTAAATTAATCTCTGCATTTCCAATTATGTTATTTCCCAAAGATTGAGGTATAAATGGTAGAGATGTTCTTTCACCATTGGTGTTTCTTTGCATCCTCAAGAATCCATAGCATCCTTGATTGGAATAAGATACGTTGGCTACTTTCTCTTCTGAGACTGAAGCATCCCCGTATCAGCAAGCAAACGTAGGCTTCTCTGGTATACTTTCTAAGCTCCGAGTCCGACCCACGAGATTCAAGATTCCGTTATCCTGAACAAACGATCTTCTAACGATGGTAACGTGATCGTGATCCTCGTGCAAGTCCCTGTACCTTATGTAGAAATCTGCCTTCTTGGCATTGAGCCCCTCATCACTCGCATCCATCGCCACCTTGAGATTCTCAAAGTCGATTTCACTGGCACGACCAGATTTGGCAACAGCAAGCTTCACGTACAGACGAATCCACTCGTCATTGTCTGCGAGCTCTGAATCCTTCGCCAGGTAATGTTTTTCAAAAGGATCCTCTTGTGGCGGCCACTCAGGCAAGCTATCATCCATAAGAATCACTCCTTTCAAAGGGCTTGTATCCCCTACACAAAGAATCAGCAGCAGCAATTAGAGTTGAGATGAACAATTAAAGTATCCATTTTTTTTTGTACCTTGCATAACAACTAATGTAACCCTTTTTTGTAACTTGCATAACAATTTGGTACCTTGCATAACAATTAATGTAACCAATGTACCTCGAATTCTTGCAATATTGCACATGAGAGCAAATGCGTTAACTCTGTCTTCTGATACTTTAACCTCAAAAATATTATGCGAAGAGCCATCCACCGCCTTCAGAGTGATGTAGTAAGAGCGAGCAGGAGAACCTATTGTGGAAACATACTTCACCATGCGCTCGAGCCGAAACTTTGTATCCTGTAACATATATAAGTTTTGAGGACATTGAGTACAGATCCTTGACAAAGAAAGAAAGAAGAACAAGAGTTCATTGAGTTGTGAACCTGAAGCAAATTGTAACGATGGAGGCCAATCCGACCATACAGGGAGACGAGGGGAGGAAAAGGACGATCACCATAGCTTAGTCCGAGTTCCGGCGAATGCCCCTTGAAACCGAACGACTAAGACCCAAAATTATTACAATGTTTCAGATTCAATGATCGATCAATCTTTTTTTCTTAAAAAAGTAAGCAATCAGACGCAAATCACTTACTGATGGGGGGCGGAAGCTATAACAAGAAGAAGATCGGAATCTCGAAGAGAAACGATATTCAACTCGGGTCTTGTTCGTAGACGAGAGATTTCTCGACGAAGAACAATGAATAAGAGTTCTCCTCTTTTGTTTATAAAGCTCTGTTTTATTTCAAATCAATATCCAAAATGTTCTTTACGTTACAAGGCACGAGTCTTTATATAAGACTAAAGAGATAAAACTAAATCTATAAAACCAAATCCTAATACGATTTATGATTATCTAAAAGAAAGCCAAAATAAAATAAAAGGAAAATAACGAGTAAGCTAACTTATCGAACAAGTCACCACTGTTCGAACTGAACTGTAATGCAGCTGCATCAGGTCCCCTATGGTGGGGAAGGATTCGTCCACGAAGCCGGATCGGGGTTATCACCACGAAAAGGAGACAAGAACTTAACATTAAAGACATCTGCCATACGAATGTGAGGGGGTAAGCGCAAGCGATACGCATTGTCGTTTATTCTTTCAAGCACCTCAACAGGCCCTATCTTACGAGACTTTAGTTTATTATACTCCCCCGCCGACATGCGATCCTTAGTGAGAACCGCCCAAACAAGATCACCAGGCTGAAAATGAAGTGCCCTGCGCTTAACATCAGCCGCAGACTTATACTTGGCAACAGCGGCTTCCAAGTTCTGCATCGCTTGTGTGTGAATATCCTGAAGCTCCTCTACCAACTCCACCGCTTGCCCATGGAAACGAGTTTGGTCCGGAATTGGTGCAAGGTCCATCGGACAACGAGGAACCACGCCATACACCACACGAAATGGGCTCAAGCCTAAGCTGCGATTAAGAGCGTGATTATGGGCGAACTCTGCCTGACAAAGCTTTACATCCCAGCTCTTGATATTGTCACCCACCAAACAACGCAACAGGTTCCCCAACGCTCGGTTCGTGACCTCTGTTTGACCATCTGTTTGAGGGTGATATGCCGTGCTCATATCCAACGACGTCCGTAGTAACCGCCATAGAGAACACCAGAAGTGGCTCAGAAAACGTGTGTCTCGATCCGACACAATGGAACAAGGCAAGCCATGTAGACGGTAAATCTCGCGAAAGAACAATGTCGCAACATTCAGCGCGTCTGCGGTTTTCTTACAGGCTACAAAGTGTGCCATTTTCAAAAACCGATCAACAACGACGAAGATCGTGTCATTCCCACGTTGTGTCCGTGGCAACCCTAATACGAAGTCCATGCTTATGTGAGTCCAAGGTTGATCCGGAATAGGTAGCGGAAGATACAATCCTGCATTCGACGTGGAGCCCTTGGCAAGCTGACAGACACGGCTACGGGAGACAAAGCGCTCCACATCGCGGCGCAAAGACGGCCAGAAATACGATGATTGGACAAGAGACAAGGTTCTGTCACGTCCAACATGCCCCTCATTATGCAATTCACTCACGATTTTGAGGTGCAAGCTGCTGTCCGGCAAGCACAAACGTAATCCAAAGAATAGAAATCCCTCGTGGCGAGTGAAACGTGAGGGAAGCCCATGCTCAATCTCGTCCCAGATCTTTGCAAAGAAAGGATCCGTGACATATAAGTCAGAAAAAACGAATCAAATCCTGCTACTGAAGTATGCATTGTAGTGAGTAAACTGTGCCTCCTACTTAACGCATCAGCGACTTTGTTAGTCTTCCCGGATTGGTGTCGTATTGAAAACGTAAACTGCTGGAGATATGCTATCCACGAGGCGTGCCTGGATGAAACCTTGGCCTGAATGTCCAAATGACGCAAGGCATCGTGATCAGTAAAGAGCACAAACTCGCGATGCACTAAGTAATGACGTTAATGCTTAATAGCCTGAACAATGGCATAAAACTCGACACTGTAAGTACTGTAACGACCCCGGACACCAGCTATTTTCTCACTAAAATACGCAACTGGACATCCAAGTTGGCTTAAAACAGCCCCAATGCCTAATTTCGAAGCATCACAATGTAGCTCAAATGGAACAGAAAAGTCCGGGAAGACCAAAACAGGAGCCGAAGTCAACATAGCTTTTATTGCGACGATTGCCGCTGCAGCTTCTTTTGTCCATTCGAACTTGCCCTCGCGCATACAGCTCGTAATAGGAGCCATAATAGAACTGAAGTGTGGTACAAAACGTCTGTAGAAAGAAGCTAAGCCGTGAAAGCTACGAACATCTGTAATAGTGCGCAGAGTGGGCCACGAACGAATAACATCCACCTTCGATTGGTCAACCAAAAGACCTTTGTCAGAAACAACATATCCAAGAAACAACACCTGAGACACGCTAAACTCGCATTTGTGTTTAGTACTAAAGAATTTCTCCGTACGTAAGACCGCCAAAACGTCACGGAGGTGTCTTGCATGATCACTAATGGAGGAACTGAAGATAAGAATATCGTCGAAATAGATAACGACAAATTTGCCAATGAACGGACATAATGCCTGGTTCATGATGCGCATGAAAGTATTCGGCGCGTTTGATAGACCAAACGGCATCACCAGCCATTCAAAAAGTCCCTCCCTCGTCTTAAAAGCCGTTTTCCACTCGTCTCCGGGTCGGATACGAATCTGGTGATAGCCGCTCTTCAAGTCAATTTTGGAGAAGATCATTGCGGAGCCAATCTGGTCCAAAAGATCATCGAGGCAGGGAATCGGAAAGCGGTAACGCACCGTAATCTTGTTAATAGCACGGCTATCGACGCACATACGCCAAGAACCATCCTTCTTGGGTATGAGTAATGCGGGTACTGCGCAAGGACTAAGACTCTCGCGGATATGTTTTTTTTGCAGTAAATCCTCGACTTGACGCCGTAACTCCTCATGCTCTATCAGGCTCATACGGTAATGCGGCCGGTTGGGCAGTGTAGCGCCGGGATCTAGGTCTATTTGGTGCTGAATATCACGCAGTGGGGGTAGCCCCTCAGGTAAGTCAGTGGGGAAGACATCGTCAAATTCTCGCAAGAGAGGCTCAAAACACGAAGTGGATGTTTTCGGCGAGGCAGTAACGTGCGTAGAAAGGATGACAAACATGACGCCTTCTTGTTTGAAGTCCTCGGAAAATTGTTGAAACGAACACAATCGAGAGGGCTGTATAGTAGAGTCTGGGGACGAAGTGGGGAAGACCACTCTCTCCAATGCTGGTGTATGGGAATAGCTAGTTTCTCGCGAAGGTAGTAGGAGTATTTGGTGAGTTTCCCACGTGAAGCTATAAGTATTTTTAGCACTGTCATGAATGATCTTCCTGTCGTACTCCCATGGTCGTCCAAGGATGAGATGGCTGACGTCCATCGGAGCTACATCGCAGTAGAACCGGTCTTTGTAGTGTGGGCCAATCGAAAGTGGAACCAATACTCGATGAGTAACAGCAACGACAACTCCTTGTTGTACCCATGAAAGGGAATAAGGAGCAGGGTGTGCCTCGAATTGCAACCCCAACTTACGTACTGCATCGTCGGATATGACATTGCGGGAGCTCCCCGAATCAATAATGAACGTACACACCTTATCACGAATGGTGCATGTTGAGCGAAAAATGTTTGTGCGCAACCACACATCTCCTCTACTATGTGGAACAAGACATGTCCGTCGAAGCACAAGCAACGAGCCTGTATCACCTTGTGTCAATGCCAAATGACCTTCATTCTCCTCGTCGCCATCATCATGGGAGTCATACACGGCCGTCTTATCAACGTCAACGTCATCCATGATAAGACCACGACACGTCTGCTTTGGACAAGCCGTTTGTTGATGCCCTTGTTCTCCGCATGCAAAGCAACGCAAGGCGTTAGGTCGTGATGAACGTTGGAGATTCGTGTCATCAATTTCTGTGCTTGAACGATCGGTGATGTTTGGGGGATCAGTACGCGTCTGTGCAACACTCGAACTTGGTGCATGCTCGTTAACACGAGCTTTTGTTGCTGATGGTGTCTACGGAGAAGAGCGAAGTTGTTGTTCAAAAGAAGCAGCACGCCTGTGAGCTCCAGCCACCGTTACCGGATCAAACTGTGCGAGTGAGTTCTGGAATTGAGGTCGGAATCCGCCAATGAAGCGTGACACGATTTGGACCTCACTGTCGTAAATGTCGTTATGGGTAAGGAGCAAATAAAATTCTTCCGCATAATCATCCACAGAGCGTAACCCTTGCTTCAGATTCTGAAAACGTATGTATGTAAGCTGATCATAATTGTGGGGCAAAAATGTTTTGCGGAGATGACGTTTCAACTTTTCCCACGATCGAATAGGAGATTTTCTGTTTCGTGCGCGAGTGGCTTTATGTTGTTGCCACCACGACGCGGCATGGCCCCGAAATTTCGTAGCAACGAGAGGAACACGCTTTTCATCGGGAACGTGCTTAAAGTCCAAGACTTCATCGACTGCATTAAGCCAATCAACAAGATAGTAGCCGTTAACACCACCTTGAAATTCTGGAATATCAACCTTGAAAGCAGATTCCCACTTATGATCATCATGACGGACTCGGCGATGGTGGTCATCTTCTTCATAGTCATCATCGATCTCAGCCCAGCGGTTGGCGAAGGGGTTGCTGTCGTCATTGACCACACGCATCGGGTGTGCGCATCTAACCGAGTCAACAAAGCTTCACTCATCTCTTGAATTGAAGCATGAATTGTTGATTGTAGGTTTTCCTGCATTGCCAGAAGTGTTGATCTAAGTTCTGCCCACTCTGCTGCGTTGCTGTGAGTGTCACCTCCCGTCTTGGTGTTGTTATTCTTCGGCGGTATTGCGACAACAATTAGCAAAAACAAGAACGTCCTAGTCTGATACCAACTGATGGGAGGCGGAAGCTATAACAAGAAGAAGATCGGAATCTCCAGGAGAAACGATATTCAACTCGGGTCTTGTTCGTAGACGAGAGATTTCTCGACGAAGAACAATGAATAAGAGTTCTTCTCTTTTGCTTATAAAGCTCTGTTTTATTTCAAATCAATATCCAAAGTGTTCTTTACGTTACAAGGCATGAGTCTTTATATAAGACTAAAGAGATAAAACTAAATTATAAAATCAAATCCTAATACGATTTATGATTATCTAAAAGAAAGCTAAAATAAAGTAAAAGGAAAATAACGAGTAAGCTAACTTATCGAACAAGTCACCACTGTTCGAACTGAACTGTAATGCAGCTGCATCACTTACCCCGCCGCAATCCTCCAGATGTTTCCTTATCGCGGCATGATCTGGCACAAAACCAAAAGGGTAGTCGAACAGTATTATCGTCGTCGTCTCCGATTTAGGGTTTAGGTTTGTCGATTTAAGGAAGCGATGATGCATGCGTTTTGGTCGATTTTATGTTTCTCACGCAAATATGTATATATTCCCTTTTATCCACCCGGCCGACTTATTTTATGAGCTTCAGCTGGGCCTTCACATCCCAAAATATCCTTTATCCGATATGTTCGGAACATATTAAATATTACTAGCGTTATAATTGTCTATTTATTTGAATTTTTGGTGCGATTACATCTCATGTACCCGTTTATGTTGCACTAAACATAATCGATTAGTTTGGTAAGAATCGTATATGTGGATTGTGATAAGTTGAATCTTGTATTGGACAACTTCTCCATTATAATCCACTGAATAAGATGTAAATACAAGCCTCTAACCACATTAAGTTTTTTTTTTCTTTCAGAAATGTTTATCAGTTCTTAAGTAACTCCCAACATATATTGACAAAAGCCTTACAGATATATCCACCTTAAATATACACTTGTTACCTTTCTAACCACATGAAGTATTATCACATGCTAGCGTAGTTTTCTTAATCAGCAATCTACCCTTCACAAAAGCAGTTTTATTTTGTAGTATTATGTTTGGAAGAAGAGGTTTTATTCTTGTTACTACGTACAGACCATCGTGTAGATGATGTTGTAGAAGGATATAGGTTTATATCCACAAGATAAGTCGCTCCTGGTTTCTTTGGCACTATAGTGAGGATTGTAGCATTGGATGCTTTAGATAAAAAACAATTTCTGCCTGAAATAAATGTGTAATGTTGTTGGTGTGGTGGTCAATAACTTCAATCTGCAAACACTTAAGCAACTCATTAGTCTCTCTTTCACTCACTCTCTCGTGTATGTTATGACTTATGAGATTCTCAGGCTGGTTGTTTGTCAATGTGTGGTCGCAACCTTTGAAATCTTAGGTCAAAGATTCCCAGATTGTAAAGGCAAGAGTTCATCTTCCTTCTTCCATCATCTTTTAAGCTTTTTGAATAACAAAAATATGAAAACCTATTTACTAAAAGCAACTGGTTATTCAAACGTACAGTCTTGTATAACAAGTCTTAATCAAACACTAATCTCACGTGGCTGTTTAAAAGTCACGGGTCCAATTCGTATTTGGACTTGATCGCTCGAGTGGACGTAAAAGGTTGGTTGTGTATGTGAGTGAAGTCTGATGTCTTTGTCAAAAACTGCATTACATTTGTAAATTATAAAAGGGATTAAGAAGGAATCAAACTAAACTATATCCATACCAAAAAAATAAAACTATATTGTATCCACACTAATTCGGTTTATATATAAACTTTTGGAGGGGTTTTCCATTCATATTGTATATCATATTATCATACCCACACTAAAATGAAGAAAGCACATAAATAACTCGAACTGAACATGTAACTATATATATAACACACCTTCCGAAAAGTAATTACAATCAAAAGAACATGAATGTATGTATTTTTTTGCCTTGATACATAAAGTGTCCCAAAGACTAATAAACAAAAACTTCTTTTGCGTTGACACTTAAATTAGAAGCTAAAGGACTAATGTTCATTTCTCTAAAAGTTACAAACCCAAAAGATCTTCTTAGATAATATAAACAAAACTTTAATTTCTTTAATTTTAAAAGAATTTTTTTAATATATATGTATTTGAGAAATTTGAATATATACCACCAGTTAAGTGCTTCCATGCTAGCACATATGTTGTTTGAATTTGTTAAATCCAATCTCTATTGTTTCTGCATATTGTTAGAAATTGTAATATAGAGTGTACTATTATTCAATTAAAAGGTTTGTGTTTCTAGAATTAATCTAATATTTTTTACTCAAACGTGACGGCTAAGCGCATACGTATATTATATATGTAACCGTGTTCAGACTATACAGAAGCAGGTGGGTTTTGGTCTTTAAAAATATGTTTCTTTTCAACAAAACTCTTCACAACCAAATTTGTATCTTTTGGTGAATCAAAAAACTCTCAACGATGGTGCCTCAAGTGGACCACAAACACCCACCACCACAACATCAAGTGTTCATAAATTTCCGTGGAGATCAACTGCGCAATAACTTCATCAGCCATCTTGTGAAGGCTTTGAAGGAACAAGGAATCAATGTCTTCATCGACACATATGAGCAAAAAGGCAAAGACATCAAAAATCTTTTCAAGAGAATTGAGGAATCAAGAATAGCGCTGGCCGTGTTCTCCACCAGGTATCCAGAATCAACCTGGTGCTTGGAGGAGCTTGTTAATATCAAGAACCGCGTGGAATTTGGCATGCTTCAGGTGCCAAACGTTTATTTTTTAAGCTTTTATATGTTTTGAGACATTTGATGTAATGATTAGACTCTAAAAATATATGTATTCTCTCACTCTATTACAAAGGTACTTCCTATCTTCTACAAGGTACCTACAGAAAGTGTGAAACAACTTGTGGGAGAGTTCGGTGACCATTTCAGGCGTCGAGAGTGGGAGTATCGGCATGAGCAACACAAAATCGTTGGATGGAAAAAGGCGTTGAAGTGTGTTACTGGTAAGCTTGGCTTCACATTGGATGATAAAAGGTACTTGCTAAAACTAATGTTCACATTTAAAATATACAATATTTTTTGTTTATGTGAGCGTTATATGACCAGTCTATATGAATATATCTTACAACCTAACATATGTTTTTTTTTGTGTTACCACCATATGTGCTTTGCTAATTAAAACTATTGTTTGTTTCATTTCTATCACTATATTTTTTCACAGCTCTGAAAGCAATTTCATCGAATCAATCGTTAAGGAGGTCTTGAGAATGCTAGCAAGCATTCCATTGCCTGCACATACGTCGAATCTCGAGCAAATCATTACAACTTCTTCATCAGTTACACTCACAAAGCATGCTAAGGCTCAACAAGAGGTAAAAGTCATGACAACACAGCCTAAAGACATGGTACAACGACCGAATGACGTGACTAAGCGTGGAGGCGACTCATTAGCTCCTCACACCAAAGTATCGAGACATGGGAGCAAAAATCTCGTCAGAGAGATCAAGACTACTCTAGCCGAATGCAGCACAGTTAACCACACCAAACTATCGAGGCGTGAGAAGGTAGATATGGTAAGAGAGGTCAATGCAATTCTAGCTAGATCGCCCGGACCAAGTGCGGAAGCCAAAGTTTGTATCTTTTTTTTGGCTTTAGGGAAACTATTGCTATAGGGTATTAAAAGAGATGGATTCGTTGTTTGTCAGAACCATATTCCTCTTTTCATTTCATTAGAGTGATTTACTACATTATCATAAGGAAAATCTTTTCTATAATATTATGTCGTATAAATTACTTTCATATTTCACTAAAACCTCAAAGCTCAAAGAACATTTTGGTGAGCCAAGTAGTTTCCTAGCACTATAAAGTCTAAACCACTAGGGAGATTGGGATCATGTGTGCATAGACTAAAATTCTCTATTTTCTCACTCGTTTTGTGATAGAGTGGATACAGCAGAATAATATGAATATAGTCTTCGAGTATAAAAGATCACGAAGAAACACTCATAGCTCGAAATTCTTGTTATCGAGTATCAATGGATCTCGAGAAATAGAGAATTCAAAGACTTCAATCAAAAGCTTCTCAAAGATTAATGGATTTCAATAACAATTGATACTTGGATGTCATGTTTTCTTCCTAAGAAAATGTTCGATTCAAAGACTTAAATTTGAGAAAAGGTCCAACATGGCAAAATACGGAAAGGATCCGATACGTAGATTTTCTGAATTTTAGTCATCTTTCCTTAGCTAGTTCTTGATTTTTGTGGAGGGTAAGATTCTTCTATTTCCCTGAGAAAATTCATCTGGAGTGAGTATCCAAGAACTTCAACCTGCAAATACCTAAACTCATTAGTCTCTCTCACTCACTCTCTCTTGTATGTTATGGGATTCTCAGGTTGGTTGTTTGTCATTGTGTGGAATTTGAAATCTCAGGTCAAAGATTCCCAAATTGTAAAGGCAAGAGTTCATCCTCCATCATCTTTTAAGCTTTTTGAATAACAAAAATATAAAAACCTACCCACTAAAAGCAACTGGTTATTCAAACGTCTAGTCTTGTATAAAAAATCTTAATCAAACACTAATGTCACGTGGCTGATTAAAAGTCACGGGTCCAAGTCGTACATGGACTTGATCGGTAGATTTCTCGTAGACTCTGTTGAATAAAATTGGCCAGTGGACTTAAAAGGTTGGCTGTGTATGTGACTGAAGTCTGATGTCTTTGAAAAAACTGCATTAACATTTGTAAATTAGAAAAGGGATGAAGAAGGAATCAAACTAAAACTATATCCATAAAAAAAAACTATATTATATCTACACTAATTCGGTTTTCATACTTTCTTTTTTTGACCTAAAAGTATTAATATCGGAGGGATTTTCATTTCATATTTTTCATATCATATTTTCAAAAGGAAGATCCTACAGATTAACTCGAACTGAACAGTTAACTATATATATAACATACCTTACAAAAAAGTAATTACAATGAAAAGAACATGGATATGTATTCTTTTGCGTTGGACACAAGTGTCCCAAAACTTAGAGTTTGTTTGATACATAAATATCCCAAAACTAATAAACAAAATTTTCCTTTGCGTTGACACTTAAATTTCAAGCTGAAGAAGGACTAATGTTCATTTCTCTAAAAGTTACATACCCAATTAAAAGATCTTCTTAGGATTGGCAATATAAACTTTTTTTTACTAGTGTGCCTTATCTCTTAAGGTAGTATGAAGTGTAACACATACTACGTATAAAGTATATATTTCCATTGCATTTTAGTATATTATAAGGTTTGTGTTTCTATAGTTAATCTAGTATTATTACTCAAACGTGAGGGCTAAGCGCATACGTATATATATGTAACCGCGTTCAGACTATTCAGAAGCAGGTGGGATTTGGTCTTTAAAAATATATTTCTGTCCAACCAAACTCTTCAACCAAATTTTGCATATTTTGGTGAATCAAGAAACTCTCAACGATGGAGCCTGAAGTGGACCAGAAACACCCACCACCACAACATCAAGTGTTCATAAACTTCCGTGGAGATCAACTGCGCAATAACTTCATCAGCCATCTTGTAAAAGCCTTAAAAGGACATGGAATCAATGTCTTCATCGACACATATGAGCAAAAAGGTAAAGACATCAAAAACCTTTTCAAGAGAATTGAGGAATCAAGACTCGCGCTGGCCGTATTCTCGACCAGGTATACAGAATCAACCTGGTGTTTGGAGGAGCTTGTCAATATCAAGAACCGCGTAGACTTAGGCACGCTTGAGGTACGAACAGTACGTTTGTTTTAAGCTAATATATATGTTTTGGGACATTTATACATGTATCGATCACTCTAAAAGAATATGTATCTATCATAAGGTACTTCCTATCTTCTACAAGGTGCCTACAGCAAGTGTGAAACAACTTGTGGGAGAGTTTGGTGACCATTTCAGGCGTCGAGAGTGCGAGTATCGGCATGAGCAACCCAAAATAGAGAGATGGAAAAAGGCGTTGGAGTGTGTCACTGGTAAGCTTGGCTTCACAATGGATGAGAAAAGGTATTACGAAAGTCTTGATAGTTTCAAAAACGCATATATCTGCGTTTACTTGCTAATAAAACTATGCTCATATTTCAAATGTAGGATATTTTTGTTTTCCTCGACTTTTTTTGTTTTGCATATAAATTGCAATATTTGAAAACTCAAAATTTTTACCAGCTTGCAGTTCGCATTTGCATCTACAATTTGTTAAAGACTATTAGAACAAGCAATGAAATGTTGTGATTTTATTTTAAAAGCAAAAACACTAATTGAAATGTAAACTCAAACACAAATTTAAAAAAAGAACAATCAGAGCCTACTATATGATGTGTATTCCAATGTTCATTGTTCAATAGTTTAGTTTAAGGTGAATTTAAAATCTCTGATTAAAATACTCTTTCTTGGCGCCTAGTACTAATGTTTCATGATTGACATTTTATAATATAGAGTTGTAAGATGTGTTTATATATATATATATATATATATGTATGTTTTTTTAATGAATATATTTTACTACTTAACATATGTTCTTTTCATTTTTTTTATAAAATTCGATATCATAAATGTTAGCACCCTATTTACAACGATCTATATATATATTGACAGTTCTGAAATCAACTTCATCGAATCAATCGTTAAGGAGGTCTTGAGAACGCTAGCAAACGTACCATTGCTTGCACATACTACGAATCCACACCAAAACCATCAGCTTCATGGAAATGAAACATCTTCTTCACCAGTTACACTCACAGAGAATGCTAAGGCGGCTCAAGAAGTAGAGGTGATCACACCAACGCAACCTAAAGACATCTTACGACAGCCCCAATCGCGTCACTAAGCGTAGGGGCGACTCATTACGTCCCCTGCACACAAAAATATCAAGACCCCCCGAGGGCTTTAATTGGGCAAGAGAGGTCGAGGCAGTTCTAGCCAAATCGAGACCTGAGACATTAAGTCTCTCGAGAAGGGTCGAGGAAAGTCTAGCCGGACCACCAGGACTAGTTAGTGAGAGGAGAGTTCTAGCCAGATCGTCTACACCAAAACTATGTACAAGAAAGTTTTCTCTTTTCTTGGTTTATAGGGGAAAAGAGATTGGACTATGTATGTGTCTGCCGTAACCATTTTCCTCTTTTCGTTATTATTTTTGGTTTTTAATTAAAGAAATTTCAAATATAAATAATTGATATGTTTAATAATGAAAATTAAACCTAATTCAAATACAAACAAGAAGAAGTAATATATATATATGTTAAACTTTAATCGATTGACTGACAGATACAGTATTGTAATTATGTTAATTATTATAAAATTAAAAACATCAAATATCAATTTAAAGTTTTTTTATAATAAGAAAACAAGGAGCATGCAAGCAGCGAGCTACAGTATTCGCCAACCCACATCAAAATTTCACCAGATCTTCAACTTATCGTGGGCTTCTCATGGGCTCATCATCATCGAGGTCCGTTTGTTTTAAACTTTTTGGGTCCCAAAAGGGAAAACGTTTTTCTTCTCCTCCAACAAAAAATTAACAACGTTGAAAGAAAAAAGAAAAAGAAAAAAAAAACCCCTAAATCAGTAAATTGTATCGCAAAAATCGCAATTCGAAGGGATCTCTCCAATGGCGTCGTCAAGCGATCCCTCGAAAACTGTGATGGAGAGGAAGAAGAAAGGAGCTCCGATCAAATTCTTGGTTCCTCTCATATACGCGCCTGCTCTTCCTCTGATTCGTCTGTCTTTGAGGCATAAGCCAGTTCTCAGGGACCGTCTCTTCGGTCTTGTCCTCGCCGGTGCTTTCGCTCATGGATTCTATCTCGTGTATCCTCTTTTTACCGCTTCTTCATTATCAACCATTTTTATTGCTTTGTGTGATCTGAATCATAGTGGGTTTGGTTTATGCTGATTGTTATATTTGAAACTCTTGGTTTCTTAATTAGTGAAAGCTGCTTCATTGTCCGGTTTCATCACTTGTGTTTGAGGATTTGGTAGATAGAAAATGTACGTTAGTGTTTAAGGTTTATGTTAGTTTATTATCATTTGCAGTGAAATGGGAAATTTTCACAACCAAATGTTAGCTAACATTGTTGATTGTTGCTGAAATAGGCTTCTCTAAAAACTGATACTTAGTAGAAATTTCTGTTGAGGTTTCACTTAGGGATGAGATGTGTAAGCATAGGGATGATCATGTAATTACAAAGTTTAACCATTTTTTCCTTTTATCATGTCCTTTTGTTCAATTTTGTATGATCTATGTGTTTCTTCTGCATCTTATTTCTAGTTTGCTTTTATTAACCATCTATACAAAATTTTGGGATTGAAGAAAGCTAGCATTTTGGTTGATTCGTGATGGGTTTTGAAAACAGGAGTAGCTATACTCTGTCCCTTTGCAGTGATCATGGTGATTGTTATTTGTGGCGGTAAAATGTAATAGTTTTGGGGATGTTTTCTCTCTTGACTGTAAATAACCTCCAGATCATTGATGGTAGTGAGGGCAAATATATTCAATCTTTCAGTGAAGTGCTTGTTCGATTAAGGTGTTGAGAAAAGAGTTGTGGCTAGTTCTGTTTCCTGATAGTTTAGAGCTTTAGTTCCCATTATGTGGATTTGGCAAGTAGCTACATGAATCTGCTAATATTGATAACCTTTTTCGAATGTTGTTTTGTTTTGATTGTTGTTCCTTAAAGATAAATCACAGAACGGACATTTATGATGCAGAGAGCAAATGAAAAACTCTTGAGAGTTGCAGCCATTCAAGAAGAGCTCAGTATTTTTTTCTTTTCTCAAATGTCTTTCAGATTAATAATATTTGATTTTGGGTTTAATACCTCTGACATAAATTTTGTTTACTCATTACTTCTTGTGCCTTAAAAGAAAAGTGTATCAGCTTTTACAATTTTAATCCCATTCTTGATTTGCCTTGTTATATGCATACACATCAGCATGTGTTAATGATATGATTATGAACAAGGAAGATATATATATATATATATATATGTATATAAAATAAAACAGAGTAAATGTAGCAATAGATTCAGGACGTATCTAAGTGGAGACAGCATAGATAGAGAGAGGTGGCAGGTGTTTCTGAATAACACCTCTTGTGCAATGATGATGGATTAACAAGTGCGTTTTTATTATAATTATAATTATATATTTCATTTTTTGAAGATCCTCACTTAGCTCTCACACCACATGTACCAGTAAAAAAAGAAAAAGAAAACATTTTTCTTGTGGTGACTCTTGTCTTGTGTTGTGTTGTATAAACTGAGAGATTCGGAGTCGGGACCCTCATTTACCTTTAGGACTTTGTTCATTAGTTGGTAATGATGGAGAAATGTCACGTGGTGATATTACGAGTGAGGTTGTAAATTGTAAAACAACGAAAACGAAAATAATATAAGTTGTTGGAATGTTTTGGGATCACGAGAGAGTGAATGTTCTTTCGGATTCATGGTTTTGAGTCTTTTGACGGTGACACGTAGTATCTTTTTTGCCACTTAAGTGTTTCTCTCCCTTTTCACATTAACACATTTTCCATTTGTTGTTTATATAGAATTTATTGTGAATATTTGCATTTATGATGGGTCTTTCGGATCCATTATGTAATAATGTCACAACGATGTTAATGACGTAATGATTAGTTACAGTATTGGTGGTGAATGGCATATACCCTTTTTCTTGCTATTTTTGTGTGTTTTTACAGTTTAATAAAAAAAATGAAAATATTTTTATCTACAAAAACTAGTTTTGTTCATAAAAAATGGTATGCTAACGTATTATTTTAGCGCTCTCTATTTTCATCATTACACTATTGAAATGAAATATCCACTCATCTTGTTACCGGTTCCAATTAATATTTTAAATGTACACCACTTAATATTTTACAATTTACATAGTCTATAATTATAGTAGAAAGCCGTAATCTTCAAATTCAAAGACAAACTAAAGGATTTCACAATTAGCTTTTATTGTATTATGCGACTCCTAGTTTTGTCAGATTGTATATCTGTAAGTGTAGATGTCATGTGCTATAAATGAAACAGCTCCTATTTATTTTACGAAACTTTTCTTTCAAACAAAAAAAAATCTCAATATAGAAATTTATTTTAAATTAGTTTTACCAAGTGGTCAAGTCAAACTACATCTTGAGATATATACATACAGCAAAGTCAACTTGAAATAGTTCAAAGAAAGTAGTATTAAATACTATAGCAACATTTCAATATTCATCTAATCGCAATTAGTGTATTGGGCAGTTCATAGATCATAGGAATCAATTTTTAAAAATTCATTTTCGTATTAGCGTTAATAGTTTTATATTCATTCTTTATTGTTTACTTCACGTCAAGTCAAAAAGGTCAGAAGTCATGTGAGATTTTGATATATTATAAAATAATCTTATTTTGGTCGTTTTTTACGAGCATCATCGATTTATTTGATTGATACAAAAGCGCGTTATGATGACATAAATTAATAGTTTTATTCCAAAAAAATATTATATGACAAAAAGGTTACGGTGAATTTGGTAAGTAGCTTAATTTGATTTTATTCACTTATGGACAGGAATGTATTTATTTCCTAAATAAAAAAAAACAATTAAAACTTCAATTTCTTTGACCGTTGATTTGACGTAGCATTGAAGCATTCTCAGAAGAAAGACGCAGAGAAACAAAAATTTCGGAAATCATTTCTCGTTTTGAAGCCTTGAAGAAAATTTGATTAATTGTGTTACAGATTCAAGAATAGGAAGTTTGAAACAAGTTCACAAGAAGAGAGAAGAAGGAGGGAAAAGAAGACAAAGTCACTGCCTTTTTCTCTTTAATGGCTGAATATGATAGTAAAGCTTAAATGTTTTGAAGTAACGGAGATTTTTCAGTTATGGTTTTGAAGTGAAGCTCTTACAGATCTGAGGTTATTACAGTCTTCATCAGAGTGGGGGGGTAATCTCAGTGATCTGGTTTTGCCTGAGTGATCTGGAATTTCGTAATTGGAAAGATCTGGGTTTCATGATCTGATTCATCGTCGTCGTCTCTCTCTCTGTGCTTTGTCTCGAAGCTTCTGGTTTTGAGTAATTTAGGGTTTAATCAAACGATTAGCTGTTTGTGATCTCGAAAGTTGCTGCTTCTTCACGTTTAGTGTTTTTTTGGTTGGTAAAGTTTGGTGCTTTCAGGGTACTGTCATACTCAAAGTCTGCGAATTTTTAGGTTTCTGATTCCTAATTTTGCTTAGTGATCGATCATCTCTGCTCGTTTCTTGAGAAAATTTCAAATTTTGATGAGAAATTGAAGTTTTTGTGGTGGACCCAGAAGCGTGTCGGCAATAAAGAAGTGAGATTTTTGCTGGTGGTCGGAAATTTTAGATGGCAACATCGCCGGCACAGCCTCCGGTTACGAATTCTCCACCGTCTCCACCGTTGGCTTCACAGTCTCCACCGATGGCTTCACCGTCTCCACCGGTAGCTTCACCTCAACTGAACATTTCTCCTCCAAGTAGCAATGCCACGTCACCACCGTCTCTGTCTCCTCCTCCTTCGGCAACACCACCACCAGAGACATCTCCGCTTCCTCCATCACCACCGCCACCAAATAGAGCTCCCCCTCCGGTTACAACCTCATCACCGCCACCACCAATTGGATCGCCTCCCCCTCTGCCAAACCCGCCTGAGGGCTCTCCTCCACCACCACAACCAGTTGTGATCCGTTCACCTCCTCCTTCAATTTCGCCGCCGCCACCATCACCGTCGGTGCAGCCACCACAAGCCTCTTCTCCACCACCGTTACCTTCTTCTCCTCCACCTCCTTCCTCTGTCCCTCCTCCAAGACCTTCACCTTCATCACCTATCTCACAACGCTCTCCTCCACCGCCTTCAAATCGTCCCATACAATCTCCTCCTCCTTCTCCTTCACCGCCGTCAAAGCCTCCCACTTCTTCTCCTCCTCCTCCTTCTCCTTCACCGCCTTCAGGCCGTCCCACTTCATCTCCTCCTCCTTCACCGCCTTCAGATCGTCCCACTTCATCTCCTCCTCCTCCTCCTTCACGGCCACCAGGTCGTCCCACTTCATCTCCTCCTCCTCCTTCGCCGCCTTCAGACTCTTCTCCATCACCAACGTTCTCTCTTCCTACTCCTTCTCTTGTACCGAATTCTGACAGTCCACCTCAAAACAACCCTACTCCTAGTGCTCCCGACGCTTCAAATTCCACACATAGCAGTGGCATTGGTACAGGAGCTGTTGTTGGTATCAGTGTCGCAGTGGCTCTCGTTGTGTTCAGTCTTATTGGACTCTTTGTCTGGTGCGTGAGAAGACGAGAGAAACGTCTCTCAGCTGTTAGTGGTGGCAATGTCACACCATCATCACAAATGAGCTCCTCCTCTCCAAGATCAGGTAAATTAGTTTCCCATCAAGGTTGATTTGGATACTAAATGCCATATATGTTTCATTACATTTTCTTCTCTGTATACAGATTCAGCTTTCTTTAGGACGCAGTCATCTGCACCTGTTGTTGCAGCTTCAAAGCGTTCAGGGAGTCATCACACGTACTTCTCACAGTCACAATCTAGCGTCTTAGGCAACTCCAAGGCGCTGTTTTCGTACGAGGAGCTCGTGAAGGCAACGAACGGGTTTTCGCAAGAGAACCTGTTGGGTGAAGGTGGATTCGGTTGTGTATACAAAGGGATGTTACCAGATGGGAGAGTGGTCGCTGTGAAACAACTAAAGATTGGTGGAGGACAAGGAGACAGAGAGTTCAAGTCCGAGGTTGAGACACTTAGCAGAATCCATCACCGACATTTGGTTTCCATCGTGGGACATTGCATCTCCGGTGACCGTAGGTTGCTCATTTACGACTATGTCTCTAACAACGACCTCTACTTCCACCTTCATAGTAAGTAACACAAACATTTTTACAGAGGTTACAATCATATAGAAACATACCGCACTGGTACTTACTCTATCTACTAAACAGCATCCAAAGAAGCTTTGGACTGGGCAACACGTGTTAAAATCGCTGCTGGTGCTGCTCGTGGACTAGCTTATCTCCATGAAGATTGTATGTTTCATATTTTCTTGGTTTTTGGATGCTAACTTCCATATGCTTTTCTGCTAATAATGAATCATCATCAAAGTTTGAGCTCTTTGATGTTATCTTGCAAATGGTAACCTCTTAAAACATTTTGGCTATTCGTACTGTATGTTCTGTTTTCAGGTCATCCACGTATCATACACAGAGACATTAAGTCGTCTAACATTCTTCTAGAGGACAACTTTGATGCTCGGGTACTCATTACTCTGCTATTCAAGGTTTTGAGTTACATGGGCTTTGACAGTGTTTTGATCTGTCATGTTCTTGTAGGTTTCTGACTTTGGTCTTGCGAGATTAGCTCTTGATTGTAACACTCACATTACCACACGAGTTATTGGAACATTTGGGTACGTTGCTTTCTCTGTTTGTTCAAAGAATCAATGTTACACATTGGAATCTAGTTTGATATCTTCTTTATTAATACAGCTACATGGCTCCTGAATATGCATCAAGTGGAAAATTAACAGAGAAATCAGATATTTACTCCTTTGGAGTTGTTCTTCTCGAGTTAATCACTGGGCGTAAACCGGTGGATTCATCTCAACCGATCGGAGAAGAGAGCCTTGTTGAATGGGTACGCTTAGCTATTTCGAACATGTCAAAACGCTCTTCTTGAAGCTCCTCATGGCACTTGAAACCTTTTTGTTTTTTTTTCAGGCAAGGCCTTTGGTAAGTCATGCCATCGAAACAGGAGAATTCGAATCTTTAGCAGATCCAAAGCTTGGAGGAAAATTTGTTGAATCCGAGATGTTTAGAATGATCGAAGCAGCGGGTTCTTGCGTGCGCCATTCAGCTGCCAAGAGACCTCGGATGGGACAAGTAACATATACAATTTTCTTGTTCTTGTTTCATCTGACAAGACTTTTGTTCGCTTGAAACTTGAAAGGAGTCTTAAAATGTAATTTTTTGCAGATTGTGAGAGCTTTTGAGAGTTTAGCTGGGGAAGATCTCACCAATGGGATGAGACTAGGGGAAAGCGAGATCTTTGACTCAGCTCAACAATCAGCAGAGATCAGATTGTTCAGGAGAATGGCGTTTGGTAGCCAAAATTACAGTACAGATTTTTTCACACATTCTAGTTACAACAGCAGAGACGAACACGTGTAAATATTATACACACATTGTTTCTTTTTCTCTCTCTCTCGCCATTAGAGGCAACAATTCCATCAGGAACATCCCATTTTTTGTCTGCAAAACCCGCACATCCTGTTCTTTCATACTGTAATTACGCAGAGGAGTGGTTTTCATCTCAAAGCAGAACCTCCTTGAGTGGCTGAAACAGTATGATTCTTCCTCTGGTTTTTGTTTTCTGTTTATTTGTGTTCATCTCCTTGTTTCCATGTGGTGAAACTAAAAGAGACTATTGATACAAGTTGCAGAAACAGAGGATTTTTCAGAGGAGCAGAAAGATGAGCAAAGGGATGTTCTTGAACAAGAGAGGTTTCGTTTCTTACACAAAAAGTACTTTTGTATCTATTTTTTAATCTTTTACTTATATCTTAAATCTTACACATTCTGTGACATTACCTCATCGTCATGTTGTCTCATTCTTGTACTTCGAATTATGATGAATCAACAAGGATCTTTCTGATTGAGTGTTCATCCACCTCAACTTTTACATATTAAAAGACTGGTTTACCCTTGTGAATCACCGTGTTGGAGAGTAGTAGAATCAAAGGAAACGAAAGATTGTTAGTTGCTTTAACGTCCAAGATTCCTAAACAATGCTTTTAAAAGTGTGGATTCTATAAGAGCAACAAACAAGTAGTTAACAAACACATGGGTGTTGCTTTGCCTTGCATTGTCGATACCAATATTGGCAAAGGAACATATTCCTTTGACACAATCTGATGTCACCTTTTGTTTGTTACCTTAAGCACTCTTTTCTTCATCTCCTTCTCTATATCTTTTGTTTGTTACCTTAAAGAGTAACAAACAAAAGAGCAATGGAACAAGATTGTGGTGTTTTTGCAGCAGATTGTGTTATTCTCTGTTGTTGCTGCGAGTGCTTTATGCTACAATTCTTTATCTTTGTCTTCTTCAAGATCCCTCGTAAAGTTGCTCAGAAGATGAAGAGGTTTGTGATCAGGAGGCTCCGAGGAAAGAAGAGAAGAGAGGCAAAAAGCTTCCTACCTACTACAAAGGAGGAGGATTGCAGAGAGGAGGAGGAGCATGTTTCTGGTGATGGCTCGAGATTTAGTTGTATGGAAGATATTGAGAAGATGCTGCAAGAATTTTCCATGGAGGGAGAGTTTGTGTTTGGGTGTTTCTGGCGTCAAGGAGAGACTTCAAACGATATGGAATTCGGAAACTTTCAGTATGAAAATAGCTGAAGACAGAGATCATTCCTTGGATCATTGCTCATTGCACAAGATGTCTTATTGCGTTAAGAGGACTTAACCAAAGGGGTATTAAAATTCCCTATGCACTCTTCATTTCTCTAAGATTGAGAATAACAGTTAGAAATGAAAGTACTAATGGCAATCTTGAAAGAGCAAAAAAGAGGAAAAGACTATGGTGACATTCTCTCTACTGGAACTCTGATGTTATAATCTTCAGCTGTTCCGTAATGCTATTCACTGACGTAATAATCAGATGTTCTGTATGATCTCGTTTGTTAATCAGGCAAGACTGCAAGAATCAGACTGTACAACAACTGTTTCAACAGCTTTCTCCTTCTGTACGTAGCAAGAAAGCTTCTTGCTATCATCTATTTACGTCCTGCAAGTCAGTTGAAAATACAGAGAGAGAGAAGACAATCCCAAGTCATGATTCAGGCTCAGATCTCCTCACTGATCTCTTCTTAGCTTCTAATCTTGCGGTGAACCCAACTGTCGTAGGCCTTATAGATCTTTGCCTCACCATGTCACAGTACTCAGGGTCGTTACACTGACCCTCGTACCTTAGCCACTGTATCATCCCATGGTACATTGGAAAAAACCTCATTTGTACAGCAGAGTAGATGAAGTATGGCATCAACGTAGATACAGCCACAAGGAGAGTAACGACCCAGTAAGAAAGTGATGGAGCCAGAGCTTCAACAAAGACTCTGTATGCACCGGTTGATATTCTTGATGGAAGCTCTCCGTAGACCGCGATGAAGAAGTACCAAACAAGGATAGAGATCCATATGACAATGTGCTGGATCAGTGTGAAGTAACTTATAGCCAATGCCATCTGCAAATTCACAACCCAGACGATACATGTGTACATTGTGCTGCCTAAGATCTCTCTTCCCGCGGTTTTTCCTTCGTTGTTGAAAGCTTGAGTTTGGAGAGAGCTTTTGCAGAGGTAGAAAATGATTACTGCACTGTAGAATCCGTTGAACATCCATCCAAGTATCCTTTTCCAGCTGAAGAGAACATTCTGCACACCTTCTTGGTATAAGAGTGGAAACTGTGAAAGGAAGACGAAAAGAAGAATTTAGAACAAAACTGTTTTGACTGGTGAGAAAATTAAGCTGTTGTCCTGCAATGAAGAAGTTTACCTTGAGACAAAACCGTGCAGATACATCTTGGTCGAAGACACCGAGAGCAATAACAGGAAGGGACGAGAAGAAGACATTGTAAAGAGATAGAAACCAGTCGTTGTAAGCAGGTGTCGCTGAGAATGTTGTGTATGCTTCATATAAGAAGAGAGTGAAACCAAATGTAATGTTCTTGTAGAAGAAGTAGCAAATCTGTGATATAGAGAAAAACTAGTCAGGCCAAAAAGTATTGATTATGTTGTCTCAATCTGAAAATGTGGAATAGTATATACCATTGTCGAGATCCGCCTGTAACACCAGTGTCCATGGACTAGTAACAACCGTTCAAGATATCTGAATTGAGCAATCGCAATGTCGCTGGACATTACAGCCTGAACAATGATCAGGATTAGCTCACATACACAGTGAAAAGCTGAAAATGATTCTTATATCAACTTTAGATCTAACCTGCATGCCTTCCACGCCACTAATCCCAATGCCTATATCTGCTTCCTGAAGCATTCCAACATCATTCGCGCCATCACCAATTGCTAATGTAGTTTTACCATTTCCAGATTTTACTAGTCTTGTCACCTACATTTCGATGTACTTCTTGAGAAAATCGTGACAAACAGCAAAAGTAAGACCAAAGAACAAGTAAAGAAACTGACCAGAGCTTTCTGTTTTGGTGATGAACGGCAACAAATGACAGAAGCACAACCAACGGCTAGCTCTAGGAAGATGTGCTTTATATCATCATCCAACGCGTAAGCAAGAGATTTGCCATCAATGATCAGAGCAAAAGCATCAGAGTTCCCACCAGAATACTTTAGCTGAGCCTTTCCATTAATTATCTGCGCCAAGACATTCTCCTTTGATGCCTGCAAGATAAAATCAAACATATTGATGATTCTTTCAGCTACATAATCTTCTACGAACAACTAGTGTCTTGGTTATCTTTTTACCTTTGCAATGGCATCTTTTTCTCCGGTTTTTTCCAGTAAATGGATTTCAGGGGTTTCCAAGTTGATTATGATCTGCTTCATGTCTTGTCTAAGCAGACTACAAGCAAAGCTGTCAAAAGAGATACATACAAAAGGGGATTCATAGAGTGAAAAGGAAGAAGGTAAAGAAGGTACTCAAGAGTAGATAATATTAAGGTGATACCCAGAAAATGATACCCAATATTGATAGCAGTCTCCATTTTGTCACCAGTCAAAACCCAAATTTTTATTCCTGCTTGAGCAAGCTTGTCAATGCAATCAGGGACCTGAAAGAAATAAAGAATAATGAGATCAGATTAAACTATATCAGTTCACCAACTATGAACTGATTATATGTAATAGCATTAGAAGCTTGCTTACTCCATTTTGAAGTTTATCTTCAACAGCAGTAGCTCCAAGAAGAATCAGGTCTTTCTCAACCTTCTCTGTGACTTCCTCTATCAACGATTCTCGATCTGCACTGACCGAACTCTTGGCTTCACTTATTCTTTCATTGAAAACTTTGTATTCATTCTCATCGAGTTCACGGTATGCAAGTATCAAAGTTCTCAGGCCTGCATCAGCGTACTCGTTCACATGGTCCCTTGTTTCCTCTTCAAACTCTCTACCATTCTTGGAAAGTCTTTCAAACATGACACTGGACAAAGAAACAAGAGTTTGTACAATAAGTTCAAAAGGAAGATATATCTATTTGAAAAGGCTTTCTAATGTAACATATCACTTACTTATCTGCTCCTTTACAAAGTAGTAAGAGTTTTCCATCTTCATCCTGCACTATCACTGACATTCGTTTCCTCGTGCTGTTGAACTCAAGAACGTTCAGGACTTTGTACAACCTGCAACACAAAACCATTTCAACTCAAGTAAGTTTAAACAGAGAAACTTTATGATAGCATACAATAAAGAAAAAGGAGATGGACTGACCTCTCAACTCGTTTGCCAGTCACAAGATCAAGCTCCCTTACAGATATGGTAGTTTGAGTTCTGTTAAAAAATTCAAACCCAAGCTCCCTTGCTGCAATAACAAATGCTGCTTCATCGGGCGACTCAGCCTCGTAAGAGATCTTCTCTGTGTCTTCATCCACTTCAGGTATCACTGTATGGCATACCGCGAGTAATCTGAAAAACTTCTGAATAACATCAGCATGAGTTTCAGTGACCCAGTTGCCATTCATTATCCTTTCATCTCTAAAGTTGAACCCTTTCACCGTCGCTTCTTCAGCAATTGACTCCTTACTGTATTCCACATCATTGAAATTGCTCAACAACACCAAAGGACGGCCTTTTCTTCTTCCCATAGCCATCTCCACCTCTGTAACACCACGACCATAAGCTGTCCCCGCAACAGAACACTTGATGAACTCCATGGAGTTACAAGTCAATGTTCCCGTCTTGTCTGAGAGAATAGTATCCACTTGCCCAAGTTCTTCATTCAGGTTAGAGGTACGAGCACGAGCTGGCTTGTCAGCTTCTTCATAGTACATGTGGATATCCTGATTGATGAAGATGCTCTGAAGGACTTTCACAATCTCTATTGAGACATATAAAGATATAGGAATAAAGTAACTGTACAGCATAACCGCAGTTAGAAAGTGATAGACCGCAGCCACGGGAGCTCTTTTCGGGTCGAAGAAGATACTGGAGCTATCTGGTCTCAAGTACCATCTTTTCATCACACCATCCTTGAAATCATTTCTTGTTGTAACTCCAAAGATGACAGAACCAAGAAACGCCATAGCAACAACCATGAAGAACATTAAGTAGATGATCTTATCCATCTTCTTCTCAATCATGCTTCTCTTAGATGGAGGATCTGTTGAGTTTTGTATAACCTTTGTGTCATGACCGGTGAAGATAACAGCGCCAAAGATGAAATCAGTGTTCCTGAGCTTTGAGTCTCTTAGAAGAAGCTGTTGAGGCGAGAGAGGGTATTTGGCTCCTTTCAGCTCCATGGTTCCAACAAAGGAATACAAGTTAGCGTTTGGATCCTCGCATTTGACAAAAGCCTCAAACCCTTTGAAGTTAAGCTCTTCGCGCAAGGAAGAAGTTACTTCTAGTCCTTGTTTAACTTTCAGATTTGTCTCACCGTCGAGGTTCATCGTCTCTACATAGCAAATAGCATCTTCATAGCTAGAAGAGAGCAACACAAGATCCGCTGGAAAAAACTCGTTCTTCTCTACCTTCACTAGATCTCCAACGCTTAATGTCTTCCACTCCTTTGAATCGAAATTCCCATCTCCTCTATGCACTTTAACTTTCCTATTATTCACTTCAATATCCTAAAAAAGCAACATTTACAAAAAAAAAAGCCTTTTAATTTCAGTTTCAGACAAATGAAAGCGTAATCTCCAAGATTCAGAACACAAGAATACAACAAGATCATCTAATCAAAGCTTTAATCTCAGAGAAAGAAAGAATCAAAAAGGTACCTGCTTTTTTAACTCTAAGATTCAGAACAAGCTCACAACACAAGAATCCTACTATAGATCATCTAATTAAGTTCTAATCTCAGAGAAAGAAAGAATCAAAAAGGTGCCTGCTTTTTTAACTCTTAAGATTCAGAACAAGCTCACAACAAAAGAATCCTACTAGATCATCTTATCAAAGCTCTAATCTCAAAGAGAGAAAGAATAAAAAAGGTACCTGCTTTTTGCGGCGCCAATCTTCAACACCTTCTTTAACCATGGTAGCACCAATAACGAAAAGGAGAGGAACAATGGCGCTCGCAGCGGTATAAGGAGCAAGAGCAGTGAAAGACAAGATCCCAGTGACCAAGAAGTAGAAATTAGCGACTCTCCTGAATTGCTCAAACAGTGATTTGGGCAAGAAAGTGGCGAGAGTGTACTTAGTGGTCCTCACGTAGTTGTCACAATAGTTTCTTGAATCAGCTTCAGGTGAATCCGGTTCGTTGCAGAACACGACCCGAGAGTAACCGGGTCCTCCGATTTGCGAATGGTCTTGCTTGAAACATGCTTGAGCGCATGTTAGTGTGTATAGCTTGCTTAGTTGTATCCTCCTCCTTCGTCTCTTTATTCCATTTCCTGCCATTTTTAAGATCTGGGAGAGCCAAAGTTTGAATCTTTACTGAAAAAAACAAAAACAAATTGCAGATTTTTCAGAATACTCGAATTATAAAAACAATTCAGACACGCAAAACGAGTGAGAAACGCCAATTTTTTTTTGTTGGGTCTTTGAGAGGAGAATAGGATTTTTACTGTGTGACTCAACTGATTCTTTTTCAACACCCGCGAGAACATTTAAAAAACGAAGAAAAGAAAAAGTTTCAATTTTTGTTTTTCAAAAAAGTGGGAAAAAAAAGGAAAAGAAAAAAAAAAAAGACAATACCGTTTTGGCAGGACCTCAAAACAACCGAACAGAAAAGCAGAGAAGACCGTGACGGGATATATTATCCGACCTCGTTTTCTGCGACCCCGGTTACCTAAAAATTTGATTTTTTTTTTTCTTGGGAAAATGAGAGTTTTCTCGGGAAAAGATCGAGTGAGTGATGAGAGCTGAAAGTATTGTGAATCTTCAAAGATCAAGAAGGGTATTTACGAATGGTTGTGATCTGTGATAAAGTTGAGAAATTTGGGAATTTTACAGCTAATGAGAGCTTTGAGTGGAGATCTCCATGATTTTAGACTTTTTTCAATTTCTCTGTTTTTTTTTATAGACAAATTTTCTCATCCCATCCAAACAAATTGGGAAGACGAAGACGAGGAAGAAAAAAACACAGAGAAAGTGCCAAGATTCGGACAAGTCATTCTTTCTCTTAGAAAATTAACGGATTAACGGCAAATCAAATGCTGAAGAAAAAAAAATCAATAGATGTAGAAGAGAGAGAGAGGAATGAAATAGTCTGCTTTCTTTCCCGAAAAAATGGGAAAATGATTATCAAGAACACACAAACTGGACTGTGAAGAAAAACAAGAAAAAAAGACAAGGACTAATTTGAAATCTAGAAGAATTTTAGTGTCTGGTTTTCAGAAAAAGAAAGTGAGAATTTGGTTAGTGAAGAGAAAAAAAAAAAAAAGAATCGATTGGAGGAACATTAGATGCGCCGTCATGGCGGAGAAGGTGACCAAACACAAAATGCGGGTCAAACACTTAAAAACCAGATGCATTTCAATGCATGAATTCTCTTATTTACTACTACTATACTATAATTTGAATTAACTTGTATAGTTGTTATTTATAATTAGCAAGTGTCTGTACACTTGTTCTCAAACTAGTACTAATGCAAAGGATTAATCGGTGAGATTACCATAAATAGGAGTGACTACACACATTTTAGTTAGAGAAATTAGGTGATGTTTTCTCTGATTTAATGCACACTAGGTAATTGGCCCGCATATATGTGGAGATATGAAAATTTTATAAAAAGTTAATTATTAATAATAGATAAGTAATTGATCTGTTTGGTAATATATTTGTAAGAAATTTTTGTTTGTGAAAAAATGTTTTAATAGATTTGATAAATTAGGCTATAGTAAAAAAATAAAACATACACAAAACTTAAAATATTTTTAAAAAAATCATAAAATAAAATAAAATAATTCTTTGTTATTCGCTGTTTTCTATTTTTTATTTATATTTTCATCTTTTTATAGTTTTTTCCGTCACTTTACGTCCTATTTCTGGTTCGTAATTCTCGCTATATAATTGAAATACATTCACATATAATATAAACTTTTGATCTTTATTTATAGTGAGACAAAATAAGATGATAATAAAAGTGAAAAATTCTCCTTCTAAAAATCTGATGCCGCAAAATTTCACACAAACAATTGAACTTGTAAATATTCCACTAAAAACTTATTTAAAATAAGATTTCAAAAATTTCCATCAAAAAACCGATTTCACAAATTTCATGCCAAAAACATGAATAAGTAAATTTGCACCAAAAGAATTACGTCAAAAATATGAGCTAAAAACATTGTATCAAAATTTTGATTTTGTGAATTTTTCGTCAAAAAGTGAATCCACAAAAAAATCCGCCAAAAACTTTACATTAAAAATCTGATTCCAAAAATTAATGGTCAAAATTTTGATTTCACGAATTTCCTGCTATATAAGTGAAACCGTATATCTTTCGTCAAAAAACTTATTTAAAAATATAATTTCAAGAAACTTCTGTGAAAACCCGATTTCAGAAATTTTCCGCCAAAAACATGAATTGTAACTTTCCCACCAAAACATTTATTTTAGAGTATTTTAATTTGATTTCGGAAGATATCAAATTTTTTTTGCTAAATAGGTTGTCACAAATTTTATGCTAAATACTTGAAATCCGTAAATTTTTCTGACAAAAATTTTGTGTCGAAATGTAATTTCAAATCTATTTGACAAAAATATAATTTTTCCAAATTTTTGTCAAAAATTTTAATACTTCAATTTTGTATCAAAATTTTAACATCAAATTTTATTTATAGATTAAATAATGCCATGTCACAAGCCATGTGTACTAAAAACTGACATGTCACAATTACATCATCATTACATATCATCATTTTCATGTCACATTAAAATTGTTCAAACTAAACATATTAACCAATCAAATTAAAATAAATCAGCATTTTTTATTAAACTATATTTTCAATAAATAGATAGAAGATAGTGATGTTTTTATTGAATTTACAAATGTGGTATTTTTGTTTTTTAAGTTTAAATATCTTAATCTAATCCTAATTCATGTTAGAGTGAGTAAATACTAGATATTACAATATAATGTATCCTTTAGTTTAAGGACAATTAAGTAAAATAAATCATATTTTGTACTGAATAAAGTAAGCATCACTTAAAAATAGAATAAAATATTTTGACTTAAAAATCCATTAATACGAAATTGAGATTACTATTATTTTTTGGATCATGAACTAACTTTCGTATTTCTGTTAAAACTAAATATGAATAAGTTGCATAAAATTTAATGATTTTTGTCTCCTAATATTAAGCTAATTATTTGCACACAAAAAAATATTAAGCTAATTAATTACTAACACTTCAATATTCGATGTTCGATAAATTTTTTAACCACGCACCTGTCTACATAATAATTTACATTGTATCTCTTAAGATGTAATATCATATTGATTAAAAAAATGAAATATCATATGCAAGTTTTTGTTGGTTTTTAAATTTAAAATCTGACATACAATTATAAGGTATATTATTCAGTTAAACTGATTACGATTGAGTTTATATAACTATATTTTGCGCATTTTATTGTTCTCAATGGTAATGGTTTGGGAAAATGACTTTATATTCTCTAGAATTTGGTATGGTCATTAGAGGAACTTTGACTTTAATGCATAAAACATGCCACCGGCTTTGTATAGTTCGGTATGCATAATTAATGCATGAATGTTGCTTTCAAGTTTCAACTAACTGTTGTAATTCTTAGTTCACAAATATCTCGTGGTTAACATATAACCGGTCTTATTTCATAAGGAAGATCTTGAACACCATATGGATCATCTTAAGTCGTTAGTTTTGTTATGTTCTAATCCTTTATGCAACTAATTAACTTCTGTCTTTAGGCGTCACATTTATAGAGATGCATACTTTTTGTTTGTAGCCTTGTAGGTTTTCTCCTGTTTTGGCCGCTGTCTACTACAACAATGAAAAGTTTAATTTGTAAAAAAACGTGTGAATAGATTCAGAAGATCACTATTTAAGTATTTTATGTATTTTTTCATGCCCATAAACTACATGATCATCCTACTAAGTAAATCATTTATTTATTGAAAAATTGACACACTTTTTTTTTTTACTGAATGCATAAGATTTGACAAACTTGCATGCATCAAATCCTTTGAATAAAAAATCAATTTATTAATCAACCCAAATTACAGAACCTCGAACCCTTGTTTACAATGAACTAAAACGTTTTCTCAACTTTGAACATAATTTCATTTTTATATATTTTCAAAATTTAAATAATTATACATTTTTTGAAAATTGAGTAGATAAATATTCTAAATATTTGCAAATTCAAAAACAAATAATAATTGAGAAAATGGACATTTTGGATTGATGTACCTATTTACAGACTTTAGTATCATGTAGACATTTTTGGACTTTCTACCGTAAAGCAATTTATAACATGCAGATCTCGAGATACTCTCTACCGTAAACACAAACCATATTAATGATGTTTTAGCCAACCGTTTTTGTTTCATTAACGAATTTTACATTTTAATGCAGTATATTCTAGTTTTCATTATTCCCTCTGTTTCAGAAAGAGTGTTATTTTGATATTTTTCACACAAATTAAAAAACTTAATAAAAAGTCTTTTCTGTCCTTCATAAATATATTAAACATTTTTCTTTTTTTAATTAATATACTAAAATAACAAGATTAAAATTGAATTTTTAATTAAAAATTTGCATTCGAAATACAAAACGACACTTTTTGTGAAACAAAAATAAAGCTCTAAAACGACACTCTTTATAAAACGGAGGGAGTACTAATTTACTATAAATGGGTATTAAGAAGCTAAGCACACATATATAGAACTAGAAACATATATAGTAGAGTGGTTTGTACTATTATTTTGCCGATGTGTTACCATTTGAGTTCAAATATATATGCTATTAAAGAAAGAAAATGAATAGGTATTATATTGTTATGAGGTGCACAAATATATATATTATATTGTTATTTATATAGTCAATATAAAGTATAAGTATTGCGTAATTTGTAAAAAAAATTGTTAATATGAGCACAATTAATATACAACAGATCAGGAAGTGCGTAATTTTTGCTAATGTTTGTATAAGAATATAATTGATCAATGATCCACACACGTAGAAATTATTACACCAAGCGAATTATGTTGTCATTATGACACCAAACGTCATTCATATCTACGCATCCGATTTTTAATCAAGTGATCATGCGATTAAATACATTTTGCATTGTTTTTGTTGCAGTACTTATCTCAATCTTTGGAGGCCCACTCGCATTTTAATTTAATATGGCATAAATATATGTTTAGTGTTTTGGACAAAGAAGAAGAAGAAGATACATTTGACAAAATTCAATTGCCTGGCTTATCCATTATTTTGGAAGTTGTTTGAAAAGTTGAGCTGAGCGATTAGATTTTAATTGTATATGATTCGTGTACCTAATACAAAATTTGGGGTTTTCTCATAATATCTGAATTTAGATTTTCTATCTAGATATCTATAATCATGTCTTATCCTTTTGATATAACCACCATGACAATATAATATATTGCATACGTCACTTTATCCAAATTCTGCATATGCCAATTTATCCAAACATCACAAAATCAGCTGCATTCGTTTGCTCAAGCTTAAGCAAAATGAATAGCTTCCCTCGAAATTTATGTAATTATTTGTATATGGTGTTTGTGACCATGTGATAGTCAAATTCGAAAAATAGATTGCGTGAAGAGTTTTGAGCATTCGATCAGTCTATAGTTTTTTATTTTTTTTGGGTCAGAGAATATAGCAAAACTTAATTAGTCTATGAACATGCTCCCTCCAAAGAGCTCTCCAATAAAACAAAAGTAGAGTTAACAATACTTATGTTCGTTTTTTTCCAAAAAAAAAACAATACTTATGTTCGTGTTGTTAATTAGTACGTTGGTTTGTGGTAATCCTTGACAAATTCAATCTACAATAAGAAGTTAATTTGTTTATTTAATACGTTATGAGTTTTTTTTTATGGAAACGAAGCGAGATGTCACGATCTCAATAATGTCAGGCGTGGAAAAAAGGAAAACAAGACTTTGGCGAAGTATTAAAAGCTTATATAGTAGTTAGATTGTCAATCAAATTACATCACATGCCTTAAAATATCAAAAATATTACCATGCAGAAAATAAAGTAGCTTCATTAATTATAACATATCTTATGTAGTTAGTCCTTTTTTGAGCAAACCATGGTGTTTTTCCTTCGGATCACCCAGATTAATCGAAAATTAAGGAACAAAATTGCGTGTTTTTAATCAAGTAGTATTTACTAAGCCTAGCATATTATTCTTCATTAACGAAGTATTCATGGAATAATTACACAGAATACGATGATGATATAGATAAAGAGAAGCCTAAAAGTGATGCAAAATCATTGATAAATCGCGTGAACTAGATATCTATAAATTTGCAACACAATTAATATTTCTTCGGCCTATCGTTGTCGATTTTATGAATAAAAATATGTAAGAAATTAGGTAATGATTTTTAGTGTCTTTACCTTCTCCAACATCTGAATACTGTTAGTTAAAATATAATTATATCTTCGTCGTCGCCTCGTCGGTATCCGGCGTTAAAAAACTAGGAGAAGCTTCTATAAATTCGTACGTATAAAACATTAAAATATGAACATTTTTTTTCTAATGCATGGTACCGTTTATTTATTCATAACTGATGTTGACGTGAAAAAAATTAATTTAATTGACGTTGACATGAATGAGGAGAGCTTGCCACGAAGATGGTAGAAGCCGACAGAAGCTAAAGTGCATAACTTTTGTTGTTGTTGTTAAAGGATGATACTAACGAATATATACCATAATTTGACATTCATAATTTATTATTGTTTACATGTTTATTTTCTACAAACGTAGCTGTGTTTATTTTATGCGATGATGAAAACTAATGAAACACAAAGCAGAACTGAGATTTTTGAATTTGAAACAATGCAACCTCTGTAAATATTTTTTTTGAAGGCAACCCGAATCCAACTCAGAATATACTTGAATGAATTAATCTCGAATGCAACCTCTGTCTATTTAAGTTCAAAAAAAAAAAAGACCTCTGTCTATTTGGAACTGAAACTATAGTTACTAACTTTCTATAGCTACCAAGTTTTCCATTGGAAATATAAAATTCTTTTTGGAGTAAAACAACTCATGATCTTGTTGGATACATTCATTCTTAAAATTAAAGTTAATAGAGATTCTTTATTTATTTCTGACTCAGTAGTTCGGATCTTCATTGGAAGATTTAGCTCATACGGCGTCTAGATTCCTTTTTTTCTTTCTTTCTTTTCCGTGTAGTGTTTAAAGAATCAAATAAAGTTGGTAGCCATAAATCTAAAGTTGTGATTGATATTATGAGACTTTTTCCCTAAAGAAACTAATGACTTTAAGATGTCGACGATGAAATCCACACGGGTTACGGAATCTTCAGTTAACTGAGACAACTATTCCACTAAAATGTGATTTGAGAAAATAATCAACATGTTGACCAATCTTTTTATAAATCAACATTTTAGATTTCTTTTGATATTTTCTATGTGTGTTTTGTTTTTAGCATTCTCTTCGAAATTATAACACATAAATTATAATTGATCATCTCTAACCCTAGTTTATGAAGTTTTATTTTTTTCCGAAATCAATCACTAAGAGCAAGTCTAATAGATACATCACTAATATGAGTCTTATTGATTAATTATTAATATTTTATATACTTTATGTATATAAGACTCTTTGTAATATTTTGTTATTTTTAAAACATACAACGGAGACAATTTTATTAGATATCTTAATATATATATATATATTTAAAATAATTTTGAGTATGTTAACAATTTTTGAAATATAATACATTTTAAAAAAAATGTATACATAAAAACATATAAATTATAGAAGTGCATTTTATAAACTGGAATTTTCCATCGTTCATTTCTAATTTGCCACATGTACGTTCTTGATTTAGACATTAGTGTTTTAATTAGACACTCATTTAAAATATAAAATACGATAAACTACTTTTTTATTCAATTTTATTATTAAAAACATTTGTTTAAACATATAAAGGTCTCTATTGAAGTTGGTCTAAGTTATTACATGCTATCTTACCATGTAAAGTGTAGTGGAAGATTGTCTTTCATATGTCTGAAACGATGTATGTAATTCATTTCTCCATTTTAAAATAAAAAAATGAAGTAGATTTTGATTTTTAAATTTATTTGTATAATAGCATTTGTAGCAGAAAATGAAATATAATTTGGAAAAATGTCTAAAAACACCGTTTTGGTTAAGACAACATCTTTGCTCTTTTTTTTTTTCATCTTCTTTTTGATATCTTTAGTCTTGTCTCATTTTCTTTTGACTCCTCTATCTTTTTTGTATTTCTTTCCAATTATGACTACTTTTGGAGCTAGACTTACCATTTTGTATTTTTCCTATTCCATGAACGTTTTTAATTATTTTGAATGAATCCAAAACTACTACCAAATTATCAACTTTTTGTGTGTGTAAATTGCATTTTAAGACATCTATGTATTCTTACAAACCTGATTTCTAAACCTAGAATTATCTTTCAATAATAAAACGAAACACTTATACAAAATTCAAAGTTTGTGGCAGCGCCCAAATAAGAAATACAAAAATTCCAATTTGTGTGTTAACTTCATCAAATTTTAAGAGAAAATTAAGTTTCAAAGAATAGAAAAATGAGAAACACAAGCAAAGAAGATGGACCACACATAGAGAAATGGGAAGGCAAACAGAGCAGCCCAATTGGGTAGTGTCCAACACATGCAATTACCTACAAATCTCACCTGTCCTTAGCTTCTACCTCTAACCAACTTCTTAAGTACTATTATCTATAAATGCATACATACACATGAGTCACGTAACAAGCCATCGTCACACATCACCATATTATATCACGTCTTTATGAAATTTACAAACATTATTTTAGTGGCAATATACACAACTATAAGCGGCCTTAAATGATACGAGATATTTTTACGTACCAATTATTGTTTTTCTTTTTGTTTACATTTTACGTACCAATTTTCATTTATATGCGAAGAATTTAATGTCGATTAATCTCTATATATATATATATCCGCTATGTTTCTTCCTCAAGCACCACGGTTATAAAAAAATAAAAAAAATAATGAGTATTTATGAGAAACTGTCACTTTTAATCTTCTTTTGTATGATTAGATTATACATATTTTTAGACAGTGGTACTAACAACTACCACTTTTTATATTTGTTCGTTGAAATTTACACATAAGAACCTAAGAGAATCCATATTGAGCGTTTCTCATAAAATATCTAGATAATAAAAGATTATAAACAAAAAAAAGGAAAGAATCAGAACTGTTTCTCAAACGAGAAACTTTTTGATATATTTTTGGCTACATATCAATTAATAAATGGTTTTTTTTAACAATTTCAAATCTAATTACATAAACAAATTATATTTGTTAGATATATCTTACCGATACTGATGCTCTAACAGCTAAACTCAGTAAGTACATTGGTCTAAACAATTATATTTAGTCAATTAGACAAACTATACCTGTACATTTATCTTAGAAGATGTGATTTTGTTTTGGTTCAAATCAACAAGAAGTAATTTTTAGTTAGAGATATAACGGTTTTGAGGATACATTTTAGTGAACAAGTTTTAGAAGCTAGGTTTTGAATCTTAAAATCCTTCTTGGGCAATCGTTTGCGATAATATAGTTGTTTCCACATTTGATGATAGGCATTGCAAAATTCGCATACTGTATTTTGCAACAATTGTGTAAATCGATGTTAAAATATTGGACCAATATTAGATGAAGCCCAATATATAAATCAGGCCCAGTACGAAGCCCAAAGAGATTCCGAACTTTTATCGTCAATCTCGACTCGGTCAAACTCAAGTTTACCAACTGAGTCGTACCGGACTGGGTTTTGTTACATGACTCGCTGTTGTCGTCTTCCTAATTCCATAATTTCATACTTCATTTCTCAATGTAAATCTCATCCAGATCACACAGCAATGGTTTCCGTAATCTCAAAATGATAAAATTACAGTAGCTGCCACTGTGCTTAACGAGGTACCTCTTCTTCTTCTTCTTCCTCTTCCTCTTCCTCTTCCTCTCTCGACGCTATGTTCAATTCATACGCAAACTCAGTTCTATGGCCGATTAGAAGTAGAAACTACCAAGATTACTGCTCTTTGCTCCCCGAGAGATCTGAAACTTACCCATTTGCGCAAGCGTCTACATCGTCGAGATGTTGCTGTGCTAGTTCTCGCTCACGCTCAAGCCCTCGCTGCTGCTGCTATTCAACACCATCCTCTTCCTTTGTGAAGCCTAAGGTATCGATAAACCCTGGATTTGTGCTTTATGGGCTCAGACAATCCACACTTATCCAGTGGCCTTCGTTTCGAAGGAGGTTACTTGTTGGTGTGGCCGATGGGCATTGCTGTGAATCTGAGGTTTATTCTTCTTGTGGTGGCACCAGAAGAAACCGAGGATTTAGGCTTAGGACTTTGGAAGAATGTGGTAGAAGTGTTACTGATGATGTAGATGCTATGATTTCGTTTTTAAGTGAGGAACTGATAGATGATGATGAGAGAAATTGGAACTCAGTTAGTAGAATTGAAGTGAAGAAGAAAGAGAGGTATGGTGGTGGTGAGTTCCATGGTGGAAATGTGAGAAAGGTTAAGAAGAGACATGAGAGAAACACAGAAGATGTGAAGTTAGAGGAGAAATATGATTGTGAGCATTGTAGGGGGAGAAAGAGAACTTCTCAGGTAGAGAGTGACGCTTATAGGAGGAAGGAAGAAAGAGAAGTTCCACCAAGAAGAACAAAGAGCTCGAGTTGCTCGTCGTATTATTCACTTGCGTCTTCAGAGGATTTCGAGAGTGACACTGAAGATCAAGACGAGGACGTGGAGTTTCGTCGCGAAAGGCTAACAAGTTCGGAGAAGAAGGCAGTTCAACAGTCAACCAAATCTAGCAAGGAAGCCTCTCAGTTGCATTTGAGGAGAAAGAAAGACGAGAGCTCCAATGGCGTGGGTTCAAGCTATCGCAAGCAGGTCTTCGAGGAAGGGGAAAATTCAAATCAGGCAGTGAATTTGAACCAGAGAAGAAGAAAGCAGTCTAGTCAAACTGGTGATAGAGTGTCTGAATCGACGGGAAATTATGAAGAAGATATGGTCATTCATGAGATCCATGTCAACGATGAAAGGGAGAACAATAGAGTCCCCTCAATTCGTAATGATTCTGGAAGAGAAAACGTTGAGAGTTCTCAGCAGGAACTGGAGGAAAGATTGAGGGCTCGTTATAGCAGCAGTGAGGAAAGAGTGTCTGAAATGAGGAGAAGAGCCAAATATAGCAGTAGCCAAGAGGATGGTGTAAACGTGCTCCAAAATTTTCCAGAGGCGACAAATAATCAGCAACCTCTAGTGGAAGAAAGGATATCTAAGCAAGGTGGTACTGAACGCTTCTCTGAAAATTCAGAGGTTCATGACATTGACATCAGAAACACATATGTCTCGCAAAGGGAAGAGCGGATAAGAAACCAGGAAGTACATGCTGGCTTGGTTTCTGGTTTGCAGTCAGAAGGGAAGCAGCAAGATTATCGTATTGAACAAATTCCCTTGCAAAAGATTCAACCTGACAAAAGTTCTGTGCCTGTGTCTAATACTAGTGATGCAGAAAGGTATACAGAAATTAAGAGAAAATCTGAGAAGAGGCTAATTGATCAAGGAAGGACTACGTTTGTGCAATTAGACAGGAAAGGAGAAAAAAGCGGTGCTTGGAAAGACTCTAGGCTAGATCATGCTAGCTCGAGAAAAGAAGGACAAAAGGCCTTAAGGTTGCGAAGTTCTCAGGAAAAGTTATCTGAAGAGGCTTCAAGTTCGAAAGCATCTTCGACTATGGTCTCGGGAAATAGAATGCAGCTTGTAGATCTGGTTTCAGAGGCGATGCAAGGATCTGAAACAACACTGGTTCCTCCTTCATCTCAGCTGGTAAGCAGAGGCTCAGGGCAAAGTTATGGAACTGGTGGAGCTTCCGTTCAAGAAATTTCCCACGGAACGTCAGAAAGTAGTTATCCTACATCCTTTGAACATCCAAGAGCTGGAGCTTCTGTTAATAGTCAGTCTGCTGGAGAACTGATGAGATTTACAGGACACGAAGATGCTCTAGGTTCTGCTCATCGGTCAGAACAGTCATCAGAGAAATTTATTGGGGAGTTTGTGAGAAAGGCCAAGCATGAAGTATCAACAACTCCGGATACCGAGGAGCGAAGAACTGAAAGCAATCAGTTGAAGAGGCGGGACTCAAAGCGATCATCTGGTGGTTCAGGAACAAAGGGACCTTCAGATGAAATGTGGGTCACGGATTCTGCTCAGGGAACTCCTCAACCAGGAGCCACAGAAGGCAATGCAGCAGAGGGAAATGCTATTTTCAAAAGAAATGGTAGGTCCTTGTGGAGCGTTATCGCCGATATTGCTCGGCTTAGGTGGGGTTCACGAGCTGGAAGCCCTGACTCTAGTGCAAAGCCCGATTCAGTTAGCAGTGCAACATGGTTTTCCGGACGTGAACATGATGGAAGCAGCGATGATAACACAAAGGCGGATAAATTTTTGCTACAAGAAGCTGCTTCCCCACATCAACTGGAGATTGAACAAACTTCTTCAAGGAGCCAATTAGAATCTTCTGACTCTACTGAGCTGAAGCAGCAATATGTGAGGCCTGAAGGTGTAGTAGTATCATCGCCATCTCCCACAATATTAGAAAGTGGCTCTGCGCCCTCTCGCATGTCTTCCACACCTGGTGATCAAATTGTTGCCGTGGATGAAGAAGATGGCAGAGACTTCGAGTTTCGTCTTTCTGAAACAGCTTCAGCAGAGGTGCCAATGAGACTTCCTAGTCGAAGCCTGAAAAGATCTCCTGCTATCAATGATCCATCAGAATCTAGTCCCACCGAGTTATCTAGCGATCAAAATGTTGTTATTCTGGGAGAAGGAAGACGCTACCAGGCTCGTGTTCCTGAAATGGATCCAGCAAAAAAGCCGTTAGTATTTCCAGGTCGCAACCTAAGGTCTCCTGTTGTAAAGGAACCTTCACAACCCCGCCCCACCATGTTAGCTGGAAGTAGTAGTAGCTTAAGAGAGCAGGTGGAACAACAACAGCCTCTAAGTGCAAAGTCCCAGGAAGAAACAGGCTCGCCATTGACACAAAGGAAACTTCAGAGGAACAAACAGGTTGTGAGAGACAGTTTTGAGGAGTGGGAAGAAGCATACATAGTAGAAGCAGAAAGGCGTACAGTAGATGAAATGTTCATGAGGGAAGCATTAGTAGAAGCTAAGAAAGCTGCTGATATATGGGAAGTACCTGTCGGTGCTGTGCTTGTGCATGACGGGAAGATCATCGCTCGGGGTTTTAACCTGTAAGTTTAATTTTCATTTCTTTCATTCTATATTCTCGTGTTGGATTCATCTAACGATAGTCTTTTGTTTCAGAGTAGAGGATCTTCGGGATTCAACCGCACATGCAGAAATGATTTGCATTCGAGAGGGTTCCAAAGTACTTCGTTCATGGAGGCTTGCGGTAATCTCTTCTTTCTCACTCTCTTAAACACAGCAGGAACCCTATATGAGCATAAGTGTTTAAGTTTTGGGGGAAAATTAAAGTGAAATGATCTTAATGATCACTAGTTATGGTTTTTAATAACGTGGACCCATAAGGCAACTTGCTTATTCTTCCAACAGGAAACAACGCTCTATGTAACACTAGAACCATGCCCAATGTGTGCGGGAGCAATACTTCAAGCAAGGGTCAAAACTCTTGTGTGGGGTGCTCCCAATAAGCTTCTCGGAGCAGATGGTAGCTGGATCAGGCTGTTCCCTGGAGGCGAAGGAAACGGATCAGAAGCTTCAGAGAAGCCGCCGCCTCCGGTTCATCCATTCCATCCTAAGATGACAATCCGTCGTGGAGTTCTCGAATCGGAATGTGCTCAGACGATGCAGCAGTTTTTCCAGCTGAGGAGGAAGAAGAAAGACAATAACTCATCAGAACCTCCCGCTCCTACTGATCGTCATCATCACCATCATCATCCTTCCAAGCTCCTCAACAAGATGCATGGAATCTTACCGTTCTTCTGTCTGTAGAAGCTTATGTTTGTTTAACGCAGCCAAGGCCAAGAACAAGTTTTGCATCTTGATCTGTTCAAAATTGTATATTTATGTCCACTGTTTTGTTGAAATCTGAAGACCAGGTTTGTTCATTGTAATGCCATTGATTGTAATGTTATGCACCATTTCTATATGAAACACATGTTTTTATTTTTTCCTTGTTTAACTAATCTCTCTTGATAACTGATTTAGACTCCTTACCAGTTTTAGGTCCGAGGGGAACATCGGTCCCATTTAGTTTTATGATTAACGCGTTATAATTACAAAAGCAGATTATTATCGGGGTCATTTTAGTTGATTAGTACGTTATAATGGGCTGCTGCTAAGAATAGTTAGAAGCAACGTAGCATTCTGATGAAGACTGAATCTCTTAAAAACTACCGACCCATCGTTGCACCAAACTTTTTTTCAATCATACTTCAAGAAATCTCAAATCTCTCTCTAAAGCTTTTTTATATGCACCAATTTGTTTCCTGCAGCCTTCATCTCAAACACAATGACTTCACATTCAACCATTTGGTCTCTTCTCTTACTTTCTTATCTCATCATCTCTCCCTTTAGTGTCATTGCACAAGGACCTGCCGCTTCACCTTCAACCTCCACCACCACCGCTCCTCCTCCAACCACAACCGCTCTTCCTCCAACCACCACCGCTCCGCCTCCAACCACCACTGCTCCGCCTCCAACCACCACTGCTACACCTCCAACAACCATTGTTCCACCCTTTTCAGCTACACCTCCACCAGCAGTTACTCCAACTTCATCACCGGCTCCAAAAGCAGCACCAGTAAGCAGCCCCACAACTCCGCCTCCACAACCACCACAAAGCCCGCCCGTTTCAGCTCCATCCGTCTCACCACCACCGGCTTCACCACCACCTGCACCGGCTTCACCACCACCTGCACCAACTTCTCCACCACCCGCACCAGCTTCACCTCCACCAGCACAAGCGCCTACACCCATAACACCAATAACACTTACACCAGCTCCAGCACCAGCTCCTGCCAAGCACAAGAAGAAGCACAAACACAAAAGGCATCACCATGCTCCAGCTCCTGCACCAACTCCACCGAGCCCTCCTTCTCCTCCAGTTCTAACAGACTCCCAGGACACGGCTCCAGCACCATCACCATTCCAGAACGCGGTAACAAATCTCATACTGAACCAGAATCTTGAAAGAAATACACTTTCCCCCAAATCGAACTAGAATTTAGAATCATCGCTGTTTCATCTTTGGTTTGCAGAATGGAGGAAATGCATTAAATCAGCTTGAAGGAAGAGTAGGAATGTTGCAGAATACGGTATTAGGAATACTCTTTCTTGTGGCTATGACAGCCTAAAGTTTCCACCTCTCATGATAATCAACAGATGTATCGACTCGGAACAGCTACATTTTTTCCCATGTATACCACATTTGATTCAAAAATAAACATTTTTTTATATATATCTAGCTTGAACATATCTGAGAAACAAAACAAAACTTGATTCGATATAACTTAATCAAACTTGATCCGTACCCAAATCCTTGGAGGTTTCACGGAAGTCATACTCAACAATGAGGCCAAGATTGTCAACCAGTTTGTGATGCTGAAGACATCCTGCACACTGCCAAAGGAAGAAAAACAAAACCAATTGTTTTTTAATCAATCAAACAAAACATTTAACTTCAAGATTGATAAAAAAAACACTTAAAAGCATCTCTCTTTGACAATTAAGCAAACATGTGGTGTGCGCAACTAAAAAAGATTTAACCTGGACAAAGACGAGGCCACGTTCATAGGCCAGGCGATTGATAAGCCGCTTTGTTCTTTCTCCGCATGAATCGCAAGTGAACTCCACAAGCAAGCTTCTTCTTGGTAGCTTAATATCCATGGAAGCAACCTGTACCGAAATTTCAGCGAGAAAGACAGAAAGATACAAACACCACAAAGACTCAAAATTTTTAATACCTCTGAGGAATCCTTTGATTCTTCTATTGCGTTTAACTCCGAATCATCAGTGAGAGACCCAAAAACAGAAAATGAGCGATCCCTTTGCTTGGGTGCTTCCTCTTTCACAAGAGCAGTTCTCGACCTGAAGAAAACGCAAAAGGATTCATCTTTCTGAGATTTTCGAGAGGGGAAGAAAATTTGAGTTCAGACCCACGAAAGGAAACATGATGGAGAAGAGAGAATTAAGCTTGGGACCTGTATAGAGTCGTCGATATGGGTTTTTGTTTGTACGAGAGAAGATGCGGCTTGTAGAAACTGATTGGCTTCCGATTAACAGTTACCGGAGAATAAATTGGAGCCAAAACCGGAGACAATCCGGCCACCGTATTCGCCATGTTTTGCGTTGTCTCTGTTTTGGCTGGTTCTATCGGAGAGCTATGTAAATAGTAAGCTCGACGACGGAGGAACAGCCACCGTTGATTTCCAAGGTTTCAACGTCTCAGATCCGGCCACATCAGCTAGACAGAAATTTTTTTTCTTTTTTTTTGGCTCAGAAAAGAAATATAAACTCTGTTTCGTAATAAAAAGAGTAATGTATATTTTTTTTTGCAAAACCGATGTAAAATCATGGTTTATTCAAATAACTTCAATTCCGTGCACATTTGGAAAACATTTCATAACATTTCTTAACTCGGAATTCTCAAGAATAAAAGATTTGACTCTTTATTTCTTCTTTTTTTTCCTCAATTTTTTTTTTTTTTGGTTATGAATAATGACCAAAAAAAGAGAGAGGGAGTAAGGTTCTTTAGTTACATCAATTTTCGGACAAGAAGAATAATTATCATTTAAAAGATTCTTGATCAGATCACAAAATATGGTGTGATCAAGAAAGAACAAATCCTTCACCCTCCATCTTTATCTCTACTTGTTCTTCCAAATTTGACAAAGCTAAATAATGATGATGATCGATCAGATCAGTCTTCTTCGTCGACTTCTCTGAAAGGAAGCGGTACTGTCTTCACAGCTCGAAACTTGCCTGCATTATTCAGATGCTCATTCTCCAATCTGCAACAATATTTTGTTAATTTTTTGCCATCACAAGAATCAGTATATATATCCTGAATCTGATACCAAAAAAAAAAAGATCTCTAAAGGAAAAAAAAAATTACCGGTAAAAGTTCCAATGTCCTCTCCTAATAACTTCAAGAGCAGCCAAGAACAATCCTGTGACTCTGTAATCCACATGCTCAAAACTTGAGTGCAAAACTGTTTGTAGCCATGCTAACCTCAGAACAAGATTTAGAACCTACAAAAAAGAAATCAGTTGCGTCATTTCCTCAGATGGTTGATAGGATTAGGTTTATTTGTTTATTTAAGTGATAAAAGACAAGATTTTGGATTGTGTACCATAGAGAAGTAGTAAATGGATTTTTGGCGAAGCATGAGTTGGTTCCTAAGCCAAGGGTTGTTGGAATTGTGTTGAAGTAAACCCCAATCTTTTACAAAGTCCCAATACAATTGGTAAACTGTGGCTATACTTGACATAGCCACCACAAGGCAGAGCCAACCAATGCTCCTCTCTTTCTCGTATGCCACTTTGGTTCCAGCGGCTAACATCGCTGATACGTACTTCCCTAGGTTCACTAGGTGACTCGTCTCGCCTTCGTCAAACCACCTCCTTGCACACTGTTCCATAATCTATTTTTTCAGTATTTTTCTAAAGTGGAAGCCCTAACTTGGAAGAGAAGAAACAGAGACTTGGGTAAGAAGGAATGATGTTTTGTTTATTTTTTTACCTGCATTGCTCTCCAGTAGTATGGAAGAAAGGAAACTGCATAGGCGAGATCTCTGTAGTACTTGACTCTCATACAATATCCATAGTCCTGTGTTGCGTAGCTACCGGTAATATAGTAGCAGGCGATGTATTCTAGGTTTCTTAACATCGGTACCTGTGAGATAAGAGTTAACACATTGTTAAAGATCAGATTTTGATTCGGGATTATGGAAAAAATCAGACTTTAATCTCAATTTCAGTCCATGGGAATGTTATTTGAGGTTATCATTACCTGGCTGCAAAGTTGGTCAGCCATGAAGAAATCGAGCATCACGACTTTGTAAAGAGGTGAAAAAACAATGTTTCTGATGACTGATATAAGCCTGTAACGGCTTGATTTGTAGAAAATGTTTAAGGGACAAATCAGTATTAACAAGAAGACCTGCAAAAACCAAAAACATAAACAGATTTTAGATTCCAAATTTACAAAAACAAAAACACATGATGAATAGTGAGTGACTAGTGTTTGTTAATTACCAGTAATAGAAGGCCAGGTATCACTTGAACTTGCCGAAAGGAGTAACCTTTTGCGAGAAGCGAGAGATGAACAAACATGACACCAGCTATCGCAGACATTGAAGCGGTACATATCAAGAAAACATCTCTGTACTTGAGCTCATTTTCAGATCCAAGTTCGAAGATGAAACTATAGTTTATCCTCGCTTTTCGCCACATAAATATATTGCAACCGTATAAGAATAAGTGTAGAAACAAGAGTCCAAACATGCTGCAGAACACACGAAAACAAAAAGAAACCTCTTGGCATTAGCTTCTATTAAATTAGTTTCTCTTGTTTATTATAACTATTTAAGCTTTTTTTTAATTAGATCACTCACCTAAGTACAGGATACGCAGTTTCCATGTAGAAAGTGTTCTCAGAGTGTTTCCTATACATTCCAGTGAGATGAGCCACAATGATGTATCCAGCAAGAAGAGCAACAAAGCAACCAGTGAAAAGACCTGAATAGAGATTAAAATTTTAGGACAAGATTAAACCAAAAACCCAACAAATCTTAATCTCAAACAAGATAGATTACATAATCTACACAAAGATTATTCAGCAGACAAGATAATGCTATGCAACAGAGAGTATATAACAGAACGTGACGCTTCATAGTTGTCCACCCACAAAACCCAAAAATATTAAAGGTTTACACAATGTGGAATCCTAATGTGTATGCGTGTGATGGGGTCCAAAGACTTTTTTTTTTGGGTTGGTCTGAAAAAGATTTTTTGTTTGTAAGTGCAAAATACAAATTTTACAACAATCAACAGGTAAATTATTAAAGTAAAAAAAGTCTCACCAATGAAGAAGGTGACAGAGTGAGATTCTTTACGGTGGTGCGGTTTCAGATATTTCATTGCCTTTCTGCGATTTTCTCCTGCGAAGTGCTTGATGAACCATTCCTCAACTTCGTCTGATAGATTTATCACCTGTCATTTCACAAAACATTAATGAAAAAAAAAAAAAATTTAGTATCTTTTTCGTATCATAAAAGTATTATAAAGTGTTAAGACAAGAACGTAGGTATCGATTTTCCGCTTGCACAAACTCGAAAAAAACAAAAAAAAAACTAAAGCTGATTTTTAAGTTACCTTGTCTGAACTGTTGAAGTAAGAACTTTCCACCACTTTAAGATATATTGGAAGAATTTGTTTCCCAGTTACCTGAAAACATATAAAAGGGTTACTTTTATATTTAAATGAAATAAAAATATACAAACTCTGTTTTTAACGCTTACCTTATCGAATTTCTTGAGGATGTTCATGAAGGCTAACATGTTCAAGTTTCTGTATGTTTTGAGATAATTTAAACCTTTGTAAAGTTCTGTCAAAGCTCCTTTGATCATCTTCTCGGCGTGACTTAGTTTCTTCTTGCTGATTTGCAGCTTGTTTACTCCATCCGGACCAAATTTCTTGGACGATGACTGGTTTATCAAATCTTCTTTGATCAAGTAACTGATAGCTGAGAATGTACGAGAAGGGTTTGTCAATGGAATCTTTATCTTGAGATTCTTCCCCTGACAGCTGAAAACCCGACCAGAAACAGTCCTCAGCTTCGAGTCCTCGTTGTTGATTTTGATCGCTTCTTCTGATCTCGGAGACTCCAATGCTTCTCCCCCATTGTTCTCCGAATATTCTAAGCAAGATTCTTGAAGTTGCATTTGCTCTGTTCTGCTCCTAACTGAGTCTTCCTCTGTATTTAGAAACAGGGCAGGCTAACTAATTAAACCAATTCTTGAATCCATAACAATTAAACGATGAACTTTGAGATTGAGTAACTATTTTAAATGCAAGCTCTTATTACCGCATGAGATGGTGCATGATATTGAATCGTCTTCTTTTAATTCTTGACTAGACTCTCCATTGGCTTGCTTTTGCGTGAAAGCATATTTGAGCTCAATGAGTATCTCCATTTGCTTCTTCAAACACTCTCCTCTCTCCAAGAACTCTTTCTCCTTTGTCTTGTAGAACTGATTCACTTTGTTAAGCTGCGTGTCTAGACAAACGAAGAACTCTTTCGCAGCATCAGTATCATCAGCAATCTTCTCCAATAGTTCCGTCTCATACACGTCATTGTTACTTCCAGAAGAAGCAAGCTTTCTATGAACCTATTCAAAAGCATCAAAATCATTAATAAAAAAAATAAAAAACCATGAATGTAGTTTATAAAAGCACAAAGTTTCAAGGATGATATTAGTACTTGGATGGCACGAGATCGGTCCCTCTGCTTGTTACCGTAAAGGGAAAGCTTTCCTAAAGAGGACTTAATGGTATTTATAAAAGAAGTTTTTGTGTGCTTCTTCTCAACTCCATTGGTGAAGAAATGGATTTTCTTGAGGTCTTTCTTGAGCTGAGAGTAATCAACGAAGGCGTCTTTCCATTCTGGCACGAGCTGTCCTTCGAATTGCTTTGTGAATTTCACCATAGCTTTCTCTCTTTTAAGTCGTTAAACTCAAGAGAAAGAAGAGAGTGGTTTTGTGAGTGTAGGGCAATAGAGGAAGATGAGATTGGTTTTATAGTGGAAAATAAAAGAAAAGACAGAGAAAGAGAAGAATATATTTGACTGGGCTTTGCTTGCTTCTACTGATAGATGCCTCACAAAGCACATTCTCAAATATCCTCCTTCAAACACATTTTCATGTACTAAGTAACTTTTATCCTATGCTTCTTCCACTTGTGATTTTGAGGAGGTAAATCTTGTATCTAGTGTGGGACCCTCTGCTTATCGCCGGAATATATTCACCGATCCTCCTCTGGCCGCCGGAGAAGCTTCATATACTTACCTCAGCACTCAAAATGTTTCATCTATGAGTGAAGCTTGTAACTAAGTATGTGAGCGGTAAGGGAATTTAGGTATTTTGTAAGTGGGATAACCAGAAATAGTAAGTTAGATTGTAATTTTATAATATTTTGTGTGGAAAAAAAGGAGATAGCTGAAATGGACCAAATGAAATTTGGTGCCGAGAGACACAAAAGGTGACCTTGGATTGGACCAGCTCGATTTCCACTAAGTTTTTTCGGGTGGTAAAAGAGATTTTGAAAACATATAAATCTTAAAGAATCAAAAAAAAAAAGAAGAAGAAGAACCACCAATC